AAATGCACAGTGTGGTCTCAAACGAACATCAGCTGGAAGTCTCTGATGCGATGTCAATTTAAAAACAGCAACAGCAACTCTGCACTCGGTATTCTTTAGCCTTCGTAACAGACTATGCATTGGTAAAAATGCTGAGAAACAGATGTTCTTTGCACAGCCAAAGGATGCTGCTGAGATGGGTAGGGAGAATTCTGCAGACTGACAGCCAGGTGGCTGGATGTAAAGGAGCGCAGGGATCTTGCACCTTTAATCACAGTGCAGTAGAGGGAATTTCAGCAAGCTGCAGCTTTTCTGCACCTGCCCGAACCCCCTTCTGCTTAACTGTTTCTGCATACTGGCTTCTTGAGCCAACTGACAACAGCTGAGCATTCCTGCAGTGGTGGCAGCAAAATGCACAGAAGAGCAGACCAAATACTCAAACTTTGGGCAAGCTGCCAGGATGGCACAGAGTTCAAGGTCAAGACATGGTCTCCTGCTCCATGTAGCATGTCAAGGGAAGACAGCAATCAGCTTCTTGCCGCCTTGGGTGTTGATCTATATGAAACCACCCATCTTCTTCAAAGCTCTAGACAAAACAAGGCTACGTAGGTATGATGCAGGCAGTAGAGACTGGTCTAGCTGGGTTCATGGGGCACTGTGCCACCAAGCTCAGCCAGCCCCCCCGCCCCCAGCCTAACTCCTTATTCACAACCAGTTCAAGGAGTAGCACTGGCTGTCATCTTCCTTCATCCTCCTTAGTCTCAGAACTGCCCTTGTAGAACTCAGCAGGGAGGAGGCAAAACTAGAACCAGCTGTGGTGGACATGCCCCAAGGTAAAAGACTTCTGGGAAAGGATTTATAATGAATTGAAAAAAGTGTTGAAAAACACATTTCTTAAAAAACCAGAAGCCTTTTTACTTGGTATAGTGGGGGCGGGGTTGAAATCCCCCAAAAGGATGTTACTTTTTTTCTGTATGCCACAACAGCTGCGATAATATTGTTAGCGAAGAATTGGAAGAAACAAGATTTACCAACTATCGAAGAATGGCAGATGAAGATGATGGACATTATGGAACTTGCCGAACTGACTGGGAGACTCTGAGACCAGAGAGAAGAGACGGTGGAAGAAGACTGGAAGAAGTTTAAGGAATATTTGAAAAAATATGTTAATATTTAAATCTTAGAATAGCTTTGGAAGTGGATATAGGCTGTAGGGTTAGAAGTAGAAGATAGGGAATTTAATATAGTATTATTTGTAAGTGATAAAATGTGAAGTTATTTTAAGTGTGATTTTTAAAAAAAAGATGGTTAGAAATTATGATATATGGAAACTGCTAAAAATGAAAATCAGATAGGTGGGACTTGGGGAAGCCCACTTAATAATTTTTAGAAAAATAAGGATATGAAAAGAATTTGTTTGTATGGTTTGTCTTTTCTGTTTGTGTTTTTTATTTGTGTTATAACATGAATAAAAAAATTGGGGGGAGGACTAGAACCAGCTGGCTCTGCCTTTCTTCGGCTCTCTGACGCCACTTACTGTTGGCATCTCATCCTTTTGCCCCACCAGATCCAATGAGCACCAGCTGCCATTGGATGCCAGGGGTCCACAGTGGGACCTGCCAGGGCTTTCATTTGTAATTAACAGATGCCCAGCTGGGAAAAAGGCTTTGGGAGCGGAGAGCTGGGCAGAGGTAACTGGCAAACGTCTTAACACCCCATTTCCTGCTAACGTGGAAATTTGCCCCTTTCTTTCTCTGCCTGAGGAAGCTCTGTGTTTAAGCTCAGAGCTGCTGCTGCTGTCATGTCTGGTTTGGCCCTGGCACTCATCTGTCTCAATGGCAAACCAGGAAATGTCACAGGCTGCGCAGCAAAGAACATAATCCACAATTTTTTATTAATGAGGCCTAAACGGACAGCTTGGTGGAGAGCCGGTTCCTGTCTTTAGCTCTTACACCAGACATTCGTCTTTCAGAGCCGGAGCTGCAAGTATGACCTCGATTATTCATCGGCGACACGCACGGTGATCCCTTATGATGTGCTACCTATAAGTCTTCTTCTTCTTTGGCGATCACTCGTAGCCGAGTAAGATTGTCTTTCATAAACACGGTTTTAACAATGAGTCCGTAAGTGACTGTGGAGGCCAATTCTGGATCCACACGTCCTTCCACAGTGGGGACATTGGTTTCCAGGCGGGGGTTGATCACGGTGTGGATTTGCCAAGCGTGCCTTCCTCTTAGCATGTTTCTCCCTTGCGTCCTGAGTTCAAGTGTCTTCAAAGTCCATGACACCTTTGGTAATGGCTGTTCTCTAACTGGAATGCTTGCAGGCCAGTGTTTCCCAGTTGTCAGTGTTTATACTACATTTTTTTAGATTTGCCTTGTACCTATAAGTAATGGCACTAAGAAAACAGGGCTGCACTTTGACACACTACCTTTCACATCAAACTTCCCAGGGCTCCTCGATGCAAATAGTTGAATGGGGCTCTGTCAAACCTGCAGCACAGCGTGTCAACGCAGGGAAGTCCTCAGTGACCGCTGTAGTTTTGCACCTCACTTGCAAAGCTCAAGTTCGAGAAATCAGCTGCAGAGTGAGATGCAAACATTACAAGTGAAGAACAGGTTAAGGAAAGAGCAGCTGCCAGACTTCTGTGTTCCAAAAAGCCACAACAACATTAAAAAGGCAAGTTCACAATGTGACAGTGTGACACTGTTGGGAAGACCTTGAAGATTTTTAACTAGCATTCATGGTTTTGGCTATTCTGTGATACTCTTCAAGGAGTAGCTTGAAAAGAAAAAAGCACCCACAATTTGAGAAACTTCACATTATCACCATTGCTCCTTCGAATACTGATCTTGGGTGGGGTGTGCCAATGGCTTTGTAGCAAAAATGGCAGCACCCCAAAACAAGGGGGAGGTATCTGTGAACTAGGGTGAAGCCCAAGATTTGTAGAAATACAGCAATTAAATTCAGGACCCCCCCCCAATATTATTATTTATTAAGCATATGTAATTCTGCAGGTATATAAATAATAAACTAGGTTCCTCCCATAGCAGCTTACAGGCGGTTCCCAGGATACTTTGTGCGTGCTTTAAATGTATGGTGTGTCACTGAGCACAGTGGGGCTTGCTGCTGTGAAAATGTGTGCTGGATCAGGCCACATGAGTGGACAGTGAGACAGAAAGATCCTGGAAGGAAACAGAAAGCAAATATTGCATGATCTCTAAACAGGATCAATTGGCACAATCCTCTCCTCTTGCTAATAATGACTGGAGGTTAGCGGAGGAGACAGTCAGCCCCACGTGTTCCCTCCTGAGAGCTGGAAGGCATAAGGCATGGCATAAGGCAAGGACTTTGGGTACAATATACAGTTAAAAGATTGGGGCAAACTGTGGAAGGAAGGATTAAAATTTACAGCATGCAATGCTTTGAAAGGAAATGTGATGAAAATGATGTATAGATGGTATATTACCCCAGTGAAATTAGCCAAAATGTATAAAACAAGTAATAAATGTTGAAAATGTAAAGAAAAAGAAGGATCTTTTAATCACATGTGGTGGGAATGTAAGAAAGTGAAAAGCTTCTGGGAAATTATATATAATGAGATGAAAAAGATGTTGAAATATACATTTATAAAAAAAACCCGAAGCATTTTTATTTGGCATTGTAGGGGAGGATATTAACAGACAGGATAGTCAATTGTTTTTATATGCAATAATGGCCGCAATAATATTATTGGCACAGAAATGGAAACAAGAAGAATTACCGACGAAAGAAGAATGGCAGACAAAATTAATGGACTATGCAGAATTAGATAAGATGACAGGAAGGATCTGAAACCTGCGGGACCAGAGATTCTCAGAGGACTGGAGTAAATATTTGAACTATTTGAAAAGCAATTGTAATAAACAGATTACGCTAGTAGGATTGCAAGAAGTTTTGTAAGGAAGATTATGCAAAATATTATGAAGAGAGTTATTAGTAAAGGACAATTAAAAGTAATAGAGAAATTAAGAAATGTAGATTAAATGATAGATTGAAAAATCTTCAGATGCGGTTGATGGAAATCCAAAAAATTGTATAAGATAAGAAAGTATGTTATATGATTTTTGAAAATTATTTGTAAAAATCTCTCTCTCTCTCTCTCTCTCTATATATATATTAAAGGAAGGCATAAGGCATTGCTGCAGGTACGGGAAACCTGTGACACTCACTCCCTAAGCACTGGCCATGCAGGCTGGGGTTAAAGAGGGCTGGGAAAACTTCCAAGAGGCCATATGGAAATGGTGGTCAGAGGCAAAATTGGGCAGAGAAACAGATGCAAGTTTTGCCTTTGTACAAGTGGGCGGTTTTAGGGTGGCGTGACCGGTGTAGTCACACTGGGCATCGCACTGCAGGGAGTGCTGAAGCAATGCTGTAAAATGGAGCGCAAGAGGCGGGGGGCACCAAATTTTAGCATCTCATGGGGCACTGCTGTAATTTGAGAGCCCCAAGTCTGCCACTGCTAGCTTCCACAAACCTCTTTTCTGCACCCAGGCAAGCAAGAGCCATGACCTCAGAGTGCAAGGTAGAGCCAGAGACGGGCGTGGCCTGAGCATTGGCCTGCACTCAGTTCCCAGGGCTGTAATTTCCCACCACTCTGCTAGAGACAAGGTACTGTATTTTTTGCTCTGTAAGACTCACTTTTTCCCTCCTAAAAAGTAAGGGGAAATGTGTGTGCGTCTTATGGAGCGAATGCAGGCTGCGCAGCTATCCCATAAGCCAGAACAGCAAGAGGGATTGCTGCTTTCACTGCGCAGCGATCCCTCTTGCTGTTCTGGCTTCTGAGATTCAGAATATTTTTTTTCTTGTTTTCCTCCTCCAAAAACTAGGTGCGTCTTGTGGTCTGGTGCGTCTTATAGAGTGAAAAATGTGGTACTTTATATGGAGCTTTATATGTGAGGGTCGCTGCAACTGCAGCTGCTGCCAAGCTTTCCGGCTCTGCCATTAGGCAGAGTAAGGTGGTTGTTTCAGACTGCTGATCTGGGGTGTCATGAAAAGACAGCAGTTTATTATTGTTGTGCCTTTACTATCAGGGATGTGGAGAGATGCATGTGAGATTTTCTGCCTCGGGTACCAAAATAACTTGGCAGACCTTTCGCTGCTATACATTTTGACCGGAGAGAGAAGCATCAAATGCGACTTTCCACCTTAGGCAGCGAAATGTCTCGCGCTGGCCCTGAAGGGAGGGAGGGATGAGCAGGGAGCGTTGATGCGTTCCTCCAGGCTACTCCTCTAGAGTTCTAATAATCGTCCGCTAGATGTCAGGTTGATAGGAGGAGGAGAGAGGCACGCTGTCCGGCAACAGGAGGCAGGCAGCCAATCACTTTCCATCCTGGAGAAGACTGCTTCCCTGCTGGTTCTGTGCAGCCATCAGGAACCGGCTGTCGTCAGGCAAACCACATCTGTGCAGCAAAAGGAATCAAACCTGTAATGCAGGGTTAGAAGGGGGGGGGGGAGAGATTAATGGCAGCATGTAGAACTGAATGCAGAAAGCTGCAAAATGCATCTCTTTTTTATGCACGACATCCAAACAATATCTAATGAGGGCAAAACAAGATTTTCGGGAGATGGGGCTGCTACCCAAGACACAGTTGCCTGGGTGCTGAATTCAGTGGGATTTATTTCTGAGTAGACATAAAAAAGATTGCCGGAAAAGAACCCCTCAATACACACAAGACTATTTGTGGCACATGATAAATGTGTCTATAAGGCATAAGCTTCCCCTCTGTACAGAAAAAATGAAAATCCAAAGAACCTCCTTGTATGAAAGCGGTTGTGATTTCATTCTTTTCTATTCCCTCACCAACTAGTAAAGTGAGCTAGTCTGGAATTTTGCATTAATGTGAATAAAGCCTACATTATCACTGTATGGGTGCAATTGCCTCTCCTCTTGCCTGTTAGGAAACCTCCAAGTGTCAGTTGGGGGGGGGGGGACTCATAGCTGTAAACTTTTCCCTTTTCTTGCGAGGAATCCTATTCGAAATAAGGGAACTTCCCTTAAAAAAGGGGGAAAGGTGACAGCTATGGGGGGACTTTGGGGTGGGTAACAGAAAATAATTCTTCACTTTGGAACTGGCATATTAACCCACAGCTGTGGCCTTAAAGCAGAGGCTTTCATCCTTTTTGGGTCCATGACTCTCTTGACCAACTACCGTATTTTTTGCTCTATAAGACTCACTTTTTCCCTCCTAAAAAGTAAGGGGAAATGTGTGTGCGTCTTATGGAGCGAATGCAGGCTGTGCAGCTATCCCAGAAGCCAGAACAGCAAGAGGGATTGCTGCTTTCACTGCACAGCGATCCCTCTTGCTGTTCTGGCTTCTGAGATTCAGAATATTTTTTTTCTTGTTTTCCTCCTCCAAAAACTAGGTGCGTCTTGTGGTCTGGTGCGTCTTATAGAGCGAAAAATACGGTACATTCTTTCTGCAGCTCCCTTGTGGGAGCCCAGTTAGGTCCCCCCTTGCCTGCAGAGCTGGCAGCCTCTCACCCTTTTTCGAACACACTCCCTTGTGGAGTGTGCCCTCAGCCTCCTCTCTTCTCCCCTCTCCTTGGGAGTTTTCTGGGCAGCTATTGCTGCCGCTCCCTGGTCTCTGAGCTGCCCCCCATCCTGTCCCAAAGAGAGGTGCCTCCTCACACTGCCCCACAGGGGCCTAGGAAGCAACCCCTGGCCAGCCCCAGAGGCACCATTCGCCTGGGGAGATTGTAGCCAGGGCTGCTGCAACAAACACCTGTGCAAGCCTTTGGGAGGCAGAGACACAAGAGGGCATCAGAAGAGGGAGGGAAGGAAAGAGGGACTGAGGCCAGTGTTGCCCGTAGCACCCCTGACCATCATTCAAGAGACCCCAGGGTGGCACGGCACACTGGTTGAAAACCATTACGTTAAAGAGATGAACTGCAGTATAAAATATATAAGCCGGACCTGTGCTAAAATGTTGCAGTGTATTTCTTGCTTGCTAGTGTTATAAGAATTTTAAGGTCATATATAAAAAAATTAAATGTTCATAACTGTATATATATACCACATGTCTGAAACCCCACAGATTAGGTCCTGAACAAATTGACCTCAAATATTTCTCTGCAAGGTCAAAAGTGGGAAACCTCCCCATTGTCTCTTTCCTCACAAATCCTGTCTTAAGGGCACATTCAAGATATGAACAGGGTGTGAGCCTGTGACCTGTGACCTAAATTCAGGAATTAAGTAGTTATAATAACAAAAGATTGGCCAAAACCCAGATAATGCAATCAGGTAACTTGCCAGACAGGAGATACACAACGCACTCAGATTTCTGTTGTAGACCGCCTTTTCTGTGATGTAGGTATGATGTATCTGGGGGGTGGTCTTGGGCTACACCCCTTCTGTGATGTATGTATGATGTTTCTGGGGGTGGTCTTGGACTCCAGGGTGGGCAATTTAAGATGTCTATATAAGGGCAGGCACACCTTTGTTCTGGGTCCTCCTCTCTCCTTAGTATGGGGGAGCACCGTGTTGCAACAGTTAATAAAGATCAGGCTTACTAGCTGCTTTGCTTCTCAAGATTCTCTGGTTGGTCTCTGTTGTTTTCTCCTACCGATAGAGAACCTACAAAAGGACTCTATATGGGCTCTTGGGTACCACATAAGGGAAAAGGAGCAGTTTTTCCCCCCTTATATCACTAGCAAGAGTGCTCTGGTTGAAGGTGCAAGCCAACAACCAGCCAACCCCACCTTCCTCTACGATGCTATAAGCTGCTATGCAGCTGAAGAGGGACATTTCACTCTCTCCCCCTTTCCACTTTTTTTTCCACAGATGACACACTCTAAATTCTGTGGCTAATGAACATGCTCATTTTTTTTTTACTCAACTGGTGCTCTTGTTTCTTTCTCTTTCCCTCTCTGTTTTTGCCCTCTTAGAATTCATCAAATAAATACAGTGGTGCCTCGCAAGACGAAATTAATTCGTTCTGCGAGTTTTTTCGTCTTGCAAATTTTTCGTCTTGCGAAGCACGGTTTCCCAAAGTCTTCAAAATCACCAAAGTCTTCAAAAACCTCAAAAAAGGCTACCACACCGCGTGCTAGGAGTTGCTCCTCGAAGTCAAGTCGCAACTGCACCTCTTCAAGCAATGCACCCTGGGTATTAACGGTTTTAAGAAAAAGGAAACAAACTTGCAAGACGTTTTCGTTTTTCGTCTTGCGAAGCAAGCCCATAGGGAAATTCGTCTTGCGAAGCAACTCAAAAAACGAAAAACTCTTTCATCTTGCGAGTTTTTCGTCTTGCGCGGCATTCGTCTTGCGAGGTACCACTGTATTTTGTACTTCTGCAATCGTTGCCGTTTCTGACCATATCAATCTATACCTCACCACCTGCAGATGGCAGCAGAGAGTGATCAGCTATGTTGCAGAGAGTGGTTGAGAGGGCCACACATGGCCTGTGGATTGCCCACCTGGGCACCTTGATTGGCTGTGGATATTTCCTAAGCTAGCAATTCATGCACACAGGTGAGATAGGAAGGAACATAAGAAGCTAGCTTATACCAAGTCAGACTATTGGTCCTGGTAGCTCAGTGCTGTCTACACAGACTGGGAGTGGCTCACCAGAGTTTCAAGCAGGACTCTCAGCCAGTTCTACCAGGTGTTGCCAAGCAATGATCGTGGGACCTTCTGCATACGAAACATAATGCTCTTCCACTGAACCACACCTTCCTCAACAATCTCAGGTGGTGCTTGCGAGCTAGCAGGGTGGGTAAATGGTAAATGGACCCCTGACCATTAGGTCCAGTAGTGGTCGACTCTGAGGTTGCGGCACTCATCTCGCTTTATTGGCCGAGGGAGCTGGCATACAGCTTCCGGGTCATGTGGCCAGCATGACTAAGCTGCTTCTGGTGAACCAGAGCAGTGCACGGAAACACTGTTTACTTTCCCGCTGGAGCGGTACCTATTTATCTACTTGCACTTTGACGTGCTTTCGAACTGCTAGGTTGGCAGCAGCAGGGACTGAGCAACGGGAGCTCACTCCGTCGCAGGGATTCAAACCGCTGATCTTCTGATCAGCAAGTCCTAGGCTCTGTGGTTTAACCCACAGCGCCACCCGCGTCCCTTAGCAGGGTGGGTGGTTCTCCCTAAAAAAAGGGGGGGGGAGGAAAAAGGGTTTTTTAAGAAAATCCTTCCAAAATTTCACACCAGAGCAAAATAGTGACAACATGGGAACAATGATCTACCAAGGACAGGGCACAGAAAAACTGGGACAGACTTTTGTGAAAAGGAACAGCTGGAGCAGATGACAACTTTTGTCGACCGTTTTTTCTTTTTTCCATTCCTCGATAAACACATTCTAATCTCTGAACTCCAAATTCCAACCAAGAGAAAAAGAGAGAGGGTTGACTAGTTTATGCCAAAGAACAGCTTCCCTGACAGAACGTGGGGAGAACTGATTTTCCAAAGCTTACAAGCTCACCATGAGCCCAGTTTTACTAGAACAGCAGAAGGAAAACGTGCAGTTCCTGGGAAAAACAAATTGCTGAAGTGGAAGATGAGGTGAGCATGGGGGGGGGGGGTCAGTTCCTCTTGTTATAGGACTTCTAAGGTCTTGTACATTTATAAACATTTACTTTATATATATAAGGCAAACACATACCTAAGTATATAAACCATGTGTCTGAAATAGTACAGAACAATCCTGAAGCCATTTTGACTCTCCCAAATTGACCTCAAATATTTCTCTTCAAAGAGGAAGGAAATGGGAAAAGCTTTCCAATTGTCTTTGGAATGTAGGGGCTTATACCTCCCTGTAAATACAGTCTGGCAAGTATCTGTTAAGATGAGCACACTATCAATATGCATAAAAGATTCAGGAACTATTTACCATCTCAAAGGAATGGCCAGGTTACCCAGAAAAGGCAATCAAATAAGGCATTATCAGGTATCCTGGCAGACAGGAGAGAAGCAACACGCTCAAATTTCTGCTGGGGACCACCTCTTTCTGTGATGTATGTATGATGTTTTGGGGGGTGGTCTTGATGCAGGTGGTGCTGCGGGTTAAACCACAGAGCCTAGGGCTTGCCGATCAGAAGGTCGGCGGTTTGGTCCCTGCTCCTGGCAACCTAGCAGTTCAAAAGCACATCGAAGTGCAAGTAGATAAATAGGTACCGCTCCGGCGGGAAGGTAAACGGTGTTTCCGTGTGCTGCTCTGGTTCACCAGAAGCGGCTCAGTCATGCTGGACACATGACCCGGAAGCTGTACGCTGGCTCCCTTGGCCAATAAAGCAAGATGAGCGCCACAACCCCAGTCATCCGCAACTGGACCTAATGGTCAGGGGTCCCTTTACCATCACCTTGAGCTACAGGGTAGGCAATTTCAAAAGTCTATATAAGAGCTTGCACACCAGTGTTCTGGGTTCCTCGCCTCCCTCCTTGTGTGGGGGGGAGTAGGGGACCCTGTTGAAACAGTTTAATAAAGACCATGCTTACTAGCTGCTTTGCTTCTAAATACTCTCTGGTTGGCCTCTGTTATTTTCTCCTACTGATAGAGAACCTACATAAGGACTCTATACGGGCTCTTGGATACCTCATAAGGGATAAAGGAGCCGGTTGTTTTTTTATAACACTCTCTAAGGAATACAGTGGTACCTCGGGTTACATACGCTTCAGGTTACATACGCTTCAGGTTACAGACTCCGCTAACTCAGAAATAATACCTCGGGTTAAGAACTTTGCTTCAGGATGAGAACAGAAATTGCGCGGTGGCGGTACAGCAGCAGCAGCAGCAGGAGGAGGCCCCATTAGCTAAAGTGGTGCTTCAGGTTAAGAACGGTTTCAGGTTAAGAACGGACCTCCGGAACGAATTAAGTACTTAACCCAAGGTACCACTGTATCTCTGTTGGAACAGTTGCTGGGCAGTGCAAGCAGTAGGGAGGACATTTTCAAGATGGCATAGGATGGGGTTAATAAATAACTAGCAAAATGCCTGTCGCTTTGCTGGAGGTGTGTGGGTGTTTGTGTGTAGGTGTGTGGGTAGAAAGAGAACTTGCCTCTATTGCAGCATCTGAATTTCTGTGGTACATGTATTTCCTTTCAACAACGGAGGCCCAACAACCTCTGCCAGGGGCGGAGTGGAGGTTTTGCCTTCAACAGTGTCCCCAAATACAGCGTTTTACTTGCATGGATGAAGACAAACCATTAACATAACTTATCATGGGCATATATTTTACTTCCATTGCCAGAGGCATCATACCAATTTTCTGGGAATCTCAAGTGGAGAGTAGCTTAGGGCTGCTTTGGTCTTCCCAGTGGCATCTGCTTGGCCTACTGGGAGAATGGGGTGTGGGATTAGATTAGTCTTTTGGCTTGATCCAGCAGGAATCATTTTATGTTCCTAATTTGGCAGTCAATTTAATGGGGTACTTATGGGCACCACTGAGCTAAACCCCAATTCTTGAATTGACATCAGATATATATAAAAAAAAATTGCAGGAGAGAAAAAAATACATTCTACGCTACTCTATTAAAATAATTTTAAACAGCAAGGTTTTAATTTCCTATCTTCTCATTAGCAAGCAGGTTCATCTGCAAAACTCGACTTGGGCGGGGGCAGGGGGGGTCGAGGTCACTGCTATTTCCAAGTATACTGTATTAATAATAATAATAATTTTTATTTATACCCGGCCTCCCCAGCCAAGGCCGGGCTCAGGGCGGCTAACAAGCAATATTACTATTGCATTAGAAATATTTTAGTATTATTAGAATTATTAGTTATCAATTATTAATTATATTATTGATTATTTAGAATTAATTATAAAATATTAATTAATAATTAATAATAAAAATTATTAGGAATATTGTATTAGAAGTATTAGAAATATTTCCAAGTCCTGCATGTGTTGTCTCGTTTTGTTTTTTGAAACCCGTACGCGAATCACTACGTACTTCCGCCACCTCCTTGACCCGCATATGGCGGAGCCGAACCGGCACCGGAAGTGGAGGCGGCGTCAATTTCCCCTGCTCTGTATATTGACGCAACTTCCTCCTCCTCAGTGCCCGGATGGGATATGAAACGCAAAAGCCCCAATGAGGGAAGCTCCGCCATGTGCGCGTGCGTAGCAGGGAGAGGGGCGAAGTGGGTGGGGCAAGAGGAGGCGCGCTAAGAAAGGGAACGCGGCGCCGAGCCGGTCAGAAGCAGCAGCGGCAGCAGCAGCGGTAGCAGCTGCGCGCAGGCGCACTGGCGGCGGGCTGATATTTAAAGGGACCGCACCAGCGGCTGCTGCTGCCGCCCCCGGACAGGGAAGGAGGCGCCGGTCTCTGTTTTTTTTCGGCGGGGTGGGGGCCAGAGGCTTCGCTTCTCCCGCCCGAGAAGATGGTGTGCGGGGGGTTCGCCTGCTCGCGCAACGCGCTGTGCGCCCTGAACGTTGTTTACGTGGTGAGTGTGACAGGCGGGCGGCCCCTCCCTTGCCTTAGCAAGATGGGGGGGGGTGTTTTGGGGGAGGGGGCCTGAGAAAGTGGGGCGGGGAGGGGGCTTGGCCATGAATGGGGCAGCTGTGGGCCCTTTCAGGATCACAGCAGGAAGTGTCTTCCTTCCTTTTTTTTTTAAAAAAAGAAAGGGGTGGGGGTGGGGTTTATGGGGGGAGGGGTTGAGGAGTGGGGGTTATTTGGGGGGGTCAGCTGCTCCCTCTCCCTGGGATAATAGGTGAGGGTGGAGCAAGGTGGCTCTCTTGGGTGGCCTCCTCCTGCCTGGAGAAAGGATGGCAGGCCCTTTCCCTCCCTCCCTGGTGGGGTGGATGTGATGTGGGGAGGGTTGAGGTGGGAAAAGGAAAGAACTGGGTTTTTAGGCCAAAGCCCACGAGAGGTGCGATGCCAGGCCAGTGCGGGAGAGGGGATCTGGCAATGGTACCCGCCTGGAGAAGACCAAAGAAGTTACAGAGTGCAGCTTTTGTTGGTTAAAAAGGATGCTGAGCCTCCTGTTGTGTCAGCTGCGTGTTTCTCTCCCCATCTAGTTCTAAGAGGCTGTGAGGTGTACAGTGGTATCTCGGGTTACATACGCTTCAGGTTACAGACTCTGCTTACCCAGAAATAGTACCTTGGGTTAAGAACTTTGCTTCAGGATGAGAACAGAAATCGTGCTCCGGAGGCGCGGCGGCAGCAGGAGGCCCCATTAGCTAAAGTGGTGCTTCAGGTTAAGAACAGTTTCAGGTTAAGAACGGACCTCCGGAACGAATTAAGTACTTAACCCGAGGTACCGCTGTACTTGTGTGCATTTTACCAGTACTGCTGCACGTGTGTTTCTTTGCTAGAACAGGTCAGAGTTTTCCTTCTGTGCTTCTCCATTGCAGATCTGGAACATTGCTTCGGGCTGCTCCTCTGATTACTTGGAAACTGAGATAAATGAGCAGGGAATGGCTATTACCTAGTTTCTTGCTTGTGGGTGTTGGCATTCCCCAGCATTGGCCTATAGGCCTCCTCACCAAAAAGTAATCTCTGCCGTTTAACTAGGCCCCCAGTTAAACTGCAGGGAAGCTTTGATCATCTGAGGCTTTCGCATACGAGCAATAACTTGAGCAAATGTAAAAGGCTGCTTTAATAGCAGTGCAGTATTTCATGCGCAGGAAGTATTAGATAATGGTGTTATGAGCAATGGATGTCTCAACTACTTGGTGGACGGTTGTTGAGACCTAATATACCTCTGCTCTGCTAAGATGTACAAAAGATTTAGGGTGAATAAAGCATGTCTGGGTGAATATAAGGGTGTTTGTTGGGGTATGTGTTGCTGTGATAATGCTGGAATATTAGGTGGAAAAAAGAACAGAACTTTAAAAGACTCCTGAGTCTGATTAATTTACTAAGTTACGCTGCAATTCTAAACCTACGTATTGGGCATTAAGTTCCACCGGACACATTATCTGAGTAAATGTGCATAGGATTGCTCAGTCAGGGAGGAAAGATCACTGAGTTAAGAGTAGGCCAGTCTGCACCAGGTAACCTGATTCCACATTTAACAGGCCAACCTGTAGGCACATGGAGTGTTCCTACGCAGATGTCCCTGAAAGTACAAGTCACTTTGAACTCATATTTTTAAGCAAAGTATGTTTTTATTTTTTATTTTTGCTTTGAACACTTAGGCCAGTGGTTTTTAACCAGTGTGCCGTGGCACCCTGGGGTACCTTGAATGATGGTCAGGGAGGCCGCAGGCTACACTGGCCTCTGTCCCTTTTACCTTCCCTCCCTTCTCTGATGCCCTCTTGTGTCTCTGCCTCCCAAAGGCTTTCACAGCTGTTTGTTGCAGCAGCCCTGGCTACAAGCTCCCCAGCTGAATGGTGCTTCTGGGGCTGGCCAGAGGGTGCTGGTTGCCAGAAGCTGAGGTGGCCCCGGGATAAGCAAGCAAGCGGGCGAGGGAGCCCAGCCAGCCAGTTCACCAGCCCTTGCTGTTAGGAATGGAGTATGGACAGACAAGTCCCAGATGCCTGTGGGGCAGTGTGAGGAGGCATCTCTCTTTAGGGCATGGGGGGGCAGATCAGAGACCAGGGGTAGCATCAGTGACTGCCCAGAGGACTCCCAAGGAGATGGGAAGGGTGGGGAAAGGAGAGGAGGCTGAGGTCAACACTCCACAAGGGAGGTTGTTCGAGAAAGGGTGAGAGGCTGCCAGCTCTGCAGGCAGGGGGTGGCATAACTGGGTTCCAGAGCCCCACAGGGGTGCCCTAGAAAGAATGTAATCGGTCAAGGGAGCCATGGACCCAAAAAGGATTAAAACCTCTGCCTTAGGCAGTAGAAAATCTCAGCTCGAAGATTCAAGTGTGTGTTGAATGTCTTGCAAACATTGCTTCTTTTCCCAGTAGTTTGTAGGATGGAATCTACCTGAAATCAATCATCCCTCTCCTCATGTTCTTCAACATGTTCTGGGGGGGAGGTGCAAATGCTTCTACCAAGCTGCTAGTAGAGAGGAAAGGATGCAGAAATGTTTGCTGGTAGGACAGTCTCTGGGAATTCCATGACATTCAGGGCTGAGCATCTTCAGTAGATCTGCAATTCCGCAGAAAATGTGCAGCTTTTAAAAGAAGCAAGTATTTGCCCCTTAATGGTTGCAGGGGCAAAATGTTTTTTGCCTCCCCTCACCAGTCATTTCTCACACAAATCAAGAGAGGATTACGTGGGCTGTATGTTGCACACGCCCTTCTCTCTTCTGTGTAACCCCTGTTCCCTGCTAAAAATGAATTATCTTGATCTTGCTGGACATTTGGAAATCTTCCAAAAACTTGGAGTTAGGCCAAGCTATGCAAAATAAGCAGATAGTTGTAACATCATCTGATTTTGTATAATTTATCCAAGTCACAGAACATGAATTCTTCTATGGTGCAGAGGATATATAGTCTTACAATTGCTTTTACTTTACCAACAATATTCCTGCCATTATGATGGACACCCTTTACAGTCTCCTGTAAAAATGGTTGTTCCCTGTGAATCCAAGGTAATGGGGCTGTGCTCATGGATGTAGTTACTGTGGGGGCAAAGCATTCTTTTTGTTAGGCTGGGCAGATTTTGGCTTCCACCTCAATACCCTTTTCTTGATTAGGAGAATCGTAGAGTTGGAGGAGGACTTGAGGTCCTTAGTCTTTCTGCCCTCTGCTTCGTGGAGGAAATTGAGCTAGAGCCTCCCCAACAGATTATGGTCCAGTCTCTGCTTGAAAACACCCCACAACCACAATGAGAGCCCACCACTCCTCTTGGTAACTGGTTCCCTTGTGTAACTCCTCTTACCATCAAGTTGTTTTTCCTAAGGCTCTGCTGAAATTTAACCTATAACGTCAGACCATTAGATCTAGCTCTTGCCACCTGGAAAAGCAGAAAACAGGTCTTTGCTCACATAGAACTGAAAGAGGACAATCTTCAAGTACCCGTAGAGCTCTGTCATGTCCTCAACATCCCCATCTTCGTTTTTTCCACCTCTAAATTATTCAGTTACTTAAATCTTTCTTCATTTATTTTCTGCAACCCTCTTCATTGCCCCTCTCTGCGTCTGTTCCAGTTTGTCTGTATTCTTAAAGTGTGGCATCCAGAACGTGACACACTGCTCAAGATGAGTGTGAGGGCTGCAAGGAAGTCAACAAAAGTCATTCACTCTTACAAATAAAGATGACCAGTGCTGGCAGCTGAGGAGCACGGCGTCCTCTTAGTGGCTTGATTCTCGGTGAAGAGTGAGGATCTGATTTAGCCCTTTAATTCAGTGATGTCCTCGAGTGAACCAAGTAGAGAAAGCCATGCAACCAAAGATTCACTATAAAAATACCAGAACAAAAATACAAACCCCATTTCAAATAATAATTGCATTTTATTGCATGTATATAAAGCTCTGGTAGGTCACCAGTTTACTGGAATGATTTATAAGGAGGAGTGGAGCAGCTGAACTGGAGAGTCATCAGCAGATGTTGCAAGTGATATTAAGTGCTGAAGTGGGATGTTCTTCGTTGTCTCTGTATGAGGGCAAGCACCTAGCTTTACACGACTTGCTACAGCATGTCTGCCCATGCTCAATTCTGTATCGGTTGGCCTGGGAGCAGCTTTGAACCATTTAAATGCAGTTAACATAATTAAAAGTTAACATCCTGGATGGGTCCAGGGCCAGCAAGAAAATATTTAAGAGTGCTTTAGGTGAAATTGTTATTGCCTTAGTCACTATGTTGTAGTGTGGTCTGTTCTTCCACCTACTTTTATCTAGGTGTTTAATGTATTCTGTGTGATCTGTAGAATATGGCAGTAGCAGTGAAGGAGAGCACGGGTAGGGTTTGGGGTCAGGGCTTTTGGTGGGCCACAGGCAGCTGGAAAGGCTCCTGGAACTTCTTCCCTGATCTCTTAGGAGATGCAGAACCAGTCTTGTAAGTCACATATTTCAGTTTCATCATCTGTTTGCTGCTGCAAGGATTAAGGAAGAAGGTTGAACCTGCAGAGCAATGTGGGGCAATGGGTGTGCAAGGATACAGGAGCAGTGACATCATGGGATTCCGCCAGCTGATCAGGGGTTCCCAAAATCTGGTCCGCAGACCATTACTTCATTCAGTTGGTCTGCTGCACATCTGTGGATTTGTGGCTGAAGACGGGAGATGGCAATCCATCGCATCAAATATTCATACTGATTTTTAATTGTGTTTCAATTTCGGCTTTTATTTCTTACATTGTATTTTATTCTACCACTGTTTGAATTCTGCGGAATACAACACATAAGAAATGGCAGGGCCAACTAGAGTACAAATATAATTAAAATCATACAGCATCTAGTAGAGTGTATTACCATTGCTACAGCTGGCAAATAAATAAATAAGCAGTCCACCTTCAGCAGCTTTCAAGTTGTCCCCAGCCACTTTGGGCGGCTTCCAACGAAGATTAAAAATACATTAAAATGTCACACATTAAAAACTTCCCTAAACAGGGCTGCCTTCAGATGCATTCTAAATGTCAGGTAGTTGTTTATCTCTTGGACATCTGATGGGAGGGCGTTCCACAGGGCGGGCACCACTACCAAGAAGGCCCTCTGCCAGGTTCCCTGTAGCTTTGCTTCTCGCAGTGAGGGAACTGCCAGAAGGCCCTTGGCGCTGGACCTCATCATCCGGGCAGAACGATGGGGGTGGAGACGCTCCTTCAGGTATACTGGACCAATGCCGTTTAAGGCTTTAAAGGTAAACACCAACACTTTGAATTGTGCTTGGAAACATACTGGGAGCCAATGTAGGTCTTTCAAGACCAGTATTATATGGTCTCTGCGGCCGCCCCCAGTCACCAGTCTAGCTGCCACATTCTGGATTAGTTGTAGTTTCCGGGTCACCTTCAAAGGTAGCCCCACGTAGAGCGCATTGCAGTAGTCCAAGCGGGAGATAACTAGAGCATGCACCACTCTGGCAAGACAGTTTAGGGCAGAATGACATGTTTTATTGGCAAATGTGCTTCCCAGCTGGGGAATGCCAATTTAGTAACTGGGTATTTGATTGGGAGGGTGGGTGGTTTGATAGGCTGGGGTGTGCATGCGCACGCATGTGTGTGCATGTGTGCTCGCACTCTTAACCATTTCCTGCCCGCAAATGCTGTGTTTGAATTCCTACCCTACAAGGGTGGAACAAGTGCCAGGACGGAGGTTGCAGGTCAAAAGTAGTAAGGGGAAGAAGAGTTAAGCACATCCACCTGTGAGCTGATCCTCCCTTGCAAGTGCTGCCAGGTCCTTTATTTGCATTTATACGGCAAACATGGTTTCGAGGTCCCTGCATGTGTTGTGTAAAATGTAATTCTGTGTTCTAGAAGCTGCTAATGGGTGTTGAAATTTATCAAGGGCAACCATGAGAGCTAGAAATATGTTTTAAAATAGATCTAAATGCCTCTGATCAGGATTCCATTATTAGCTCTCTAATCCCATATTCCATCCTATTACTGCTGTCGTTTCTTTTCATATGGGTTTTGAGATTTCCTCATGTAGTCATGACATGCAATATAGATATTACACTTGCACAACCATAAAATAAAATAAGATAGCTTAAAACAGAACAATTGTGGAGCAGGGTGCATTACAGTTGACAACCATTTCACGCAGGGGTTCTGTTCCTGACCCCCACGTGCATTGGAGGAGTGCGCATGAGGACCCCCGCCCCCATTACACCCTCCCCCCCAATTTACTTTACTTTTATTTTATTTTATTTCTTCTCAGTTCCCCTTGTTTGTTTGTTTATTTATTATTATTATTTTAAATAGTAAATTTTATTAGTACTTTCCATACAACAACAAAAAAACAAAAAATAACAAAACACAAAAACAGGCATATGAAAAACAAATCCAAATCTTACAAATTAATAATATAAACACTAAAAAGGAAAACAAACATTGACTTCCACCAATCCCACAGCACCTCCTTTACCTCTCATTGTATCTTCCTGTTTTCCTTATCATCTCTATCCTAGCATCTACATATAAATCCTTCTTTCTTATCCTTTCACTTCACAAGGTTATTCCAGACTCAGCCAGATTTCTGTCCTCAAACCTTGGCTTTTAAGGTATTTGTTTAGGCACTCCCATTCCTTTTTCAATTCACTTTTTGGTTTCCCATTACACCCGTTTAGTTTCATGCTTTTTTGGGTCACTTCCAGGTCCCGCAGTGTGTGCACGTGCGCAACTGCGTATCATTTAGATGCACATTAATCGGTTGTTGCCTGTACTACCATTGCAGGCTGATTGCACAGCACGGTGTAGTACAGGACTAAACCTATTTTGCCTTCATCACCTCAATATGTTATTTCATGTGGGTATGCACAATACTGGTTTATGCTGCAGAAGTTCTCTAACATATCAAATGTGTAAGAAGGTACTGGCAGTATTGAGATAAAGATAACTTCAGTTGGGAACAGGGGCTGTTGAACACTGATAGCCTTCCAGTCTTCTCAAATTATAGCATGCACTCAGTTAACATGTGCACTATAATTTATCTGTGGGCTTGTGTAAATTCTAAATATGAGTTAAGGTCTCAGAACAAAAATGGGAAATGTTAATGGCACTTCTAGCATGAAGGAAAGTATCTAAGGACTAAACAAGAAGCGGCGAAAAAGACAGGTGCCACAGTCAAGAGCTCTGATCCTGCTAGTGAATGGATGATCCATTTTTCAAATAGCCCCAAACATGTAGAGAATAATAATAATAATATTTTTTTATTTATACCCCGCCCTCCCCAGCCAAGGCCAGGCTCAGAGCGGCTTACAAGCAATAATAAAAACAAGATGCATGATTACAACTTAAAAACAAAAAGAAAATACAACATTAAAATAATGGAACATTAAACTTGCTGCCTGATAAATTTCTTGCGTTTTTCAAGGAAAGCCTTAGATAAGCCAAAATGAAATCAAGTCACAGATGATGGGAAGCCTGATCCAGCAACCTGCCGATTTAGAGGACTATGATTTTAAACAAGTATTTGTGCCTGTTGACTTCCGTAGGATTAAACCTCTTTAAATCTGAAGCATGCATGTGGCTGAAATGAAGAGGGCAACCAGAAAGAGTTGAAGATACGGTGGTACCTCTGGTTATGTACTTAATTCGTTCCGGAGGTCCGTTCTTAACCTGAAACTGTTCTTAACCTGAAGCACCACTTTAGCTAATGGGGCCTCCTGCTGCTGCCGCACTGCCAGAGCACGATTTCTGTTCTCATCCTGAAGCAAAGTTCTTAACCCGAGGTACTATTTCTGGGTTAGCGGAGTCTGTAACCTGAAGCATCTGTAACCCAAGGTACCACTGTACGTATGAATGAATTAAGCCTCAAAGGAAAGAAGTGCTAGTGCTGCCATTCCCGCCCTCCTTCTGTTCTATGCTTCCAACTCCTCCATTCTGACTCCCCTGAATTCTTCTTTCTTTCCAGCTGGTCGGGCTGCTGCTGATTGGCGTGGCTGCCTGGGGCAAAGCCTACGGCATTGTTTACAGTCTCCACATCATCGGAGGGGTCATTGCTGTGGGTTTCTTCCTGCTTCTGATCGCCATCGTGGGGCTCATCGGTGCTATCAACCATCACCAAGTCATGCTGTTCTTTGTATCCTTCTGTGCTGTTGCCAAGCGGGGACCATCGCGTCCGCCCTGCCTTCCAGAAACCGGTACTTTATTTTCTTGCCGTGCAGACACGAAACTGGACATGCCCAGCTAAATTGCACCATTAGTAGAAGCAAAGAGCTCTGCCGGTCAAGAGGGGGTTAATGGTTTTATTCTGGTCTTCACTTGTGGGCTTTTATGGGGTCCGGGAAGGAAATGGAAGCACACATACTTCGCCTAAGATGTTTATAGGTTTTTCCTCTTTCTTTAGTCTTTGGAATATTGGGATTGCCAAAAAGGCCACACACGCACACACCTTTTTTTTGCAGCTGGCATTTGAGTTCGCGCTGAGGGTCTGCTCTGCAGATTCTTGTTCTGTCTGTGGTGTTGTATGGAGAGCCTTGCAATGTAATGCATTGATGAAAGGAGGAAAGCAACTTAGTGGAGGTTCCTCTCTTAAGGCAAGTGGGCTGGAATTTGATTACCACCTAATCCATCCCTCTGACTCAGTTAATTCTACCCCTGCATATTAAGTGTAAGTCTGCAAAGCAATGTGGCCTGAGTTGTGACAGACTCTTCTTAAATTTGCACCTTGCCCCTTCCTCCATTTTGCATCTCACAACAGCCATTCCAGGTAGCTTAAGTGGAGAGATGTGACCTTTCCAACCCAGTGAGATTCAGAACCAAGCAGGGTTTATATGACACAAGGGTGTATGCTGTCGTCTTAAGGTTCATGTGTCTTGGATGTGAAAGTCACTGGTGTATGCTGTCTGCCTGGAGAGTTGGACATAATGGAAGCCCAACAAAAGTTAACATCCCTGGGCCTTGTTCTCCTCTCTAAGTGAAACTGAAGCAGGGTGTGATACCATTAGGGCAAGTTTCCTCACCCTAATCCATGTCATTGTATCCTATAGTTGAGTAAACTTGCAGCGCGATGACATCACAGGGGATGTGGAGAATTGCACGTATACACCGCACCCTGGGATCATGTAGCGAAGGGCAGGAAGTAAGTCCAAATAAATAAGGACTTTGGGAGAGGTGGGCAGCTTCTTATCTGCCACATTACCGTATTTTTTGCTCTATAGGATGCACTTTTCCCCCTCCAAAAATTAAGGGGAAATGTTTGTGTGTCCTATGGAGCAAATGCAGGCTCCTTGGCTTCAGCGATAGCAACTCGAAGCCTCCGAAGCGCAGTGGGAGCGCTCCCTCCATGCTCCGGAGGCTTCGTGTTGCTTTCGCTGAAGCCTGGAGAGCAAGAGGGATCAGTGCGCACCGACTCCTCTTGCTCTCCTGGCTTCAGCGAAAGCAACATGAAGCCTCCGGAGTGCAGCGGGACCTCGCGCTGCACTCCAGAGGCTTCGGGTTCCTTTTGCTGAAGCCAGGAGAGCAAGACTCTCCTGGCTTCAGCAGAGAGGGAGAGCTGCGCAGCGCCCCTTCAGCGAAGCGGGAAGAGAAATGGAAGGGGCTCCGTTTCTCCTGCCGCTTAGCTGAAGGGGCACTGAGCAGAGAGGAGGAGAAATTTTTTTTTCTTGTTCCCCCCCTCTAAAACAAGGTGCGTCCTATGGTCAGGTGTGTCCTATAGAGCGAAAAATACGGTACCTACCGTATTTTTCCGTGGATAAAACTATAAGACTGTTGTCCCCCCAAAGAAATAATGTCAAAAATCAGTGGGCGTCTTATACGTGGATAGTGCTGAGGGTGGACTGGCGATTGGTTGTTGCCCAAAAATAGGGGGCGTCTTATACATGGGGGCATCTTATAGACGGAAAAATACAGTAATTCTGCCAGAGGGTCAACCCAGGCATCTTCAGTTACTCCTGCCAATAAGTTCAAAGCATACAAAAATGGAAGTGGGGGAAATAATGGCCCGAGGGCTGTTTTTTCCTAGGGCTGCCATACGTCTGGAATTTCCTGGAAAATGCCAGGATTTGGCTGCCAAAAGTCGCATCCAGGCGGAACTTTCGTCAGCCGGTTTAAATGTCTGGGGAAACCCAGAAGTATGGCAGCCCATTGTGGAACTGGGTTTTTTGCCCAAGTTTCTCAAAAAAACTCAATAACTTGGGCAAAAGAAAAAGGTCAGCAACTTTTGTGTCCGGATTTCCACCTCCTGAAATATGGCAACCCTACTGTTTTCCTGCAGCACAGTACAATGTCCTGAGTTTCACGTATACAGGTATCTGCCACAGGAAGCTTCAGTCAGTCACTGTGTTCCTTGTAAAAAACAAACGAACAAACAATTATTTTATTACTTTACCATGTATGGCACCATAGCCGCCAACTCTAAGGGGCCCAGCTCTTTTGATTCCCCCTCCACCAATATTTTTTTCCAAAAACTTACTCCAGCGTGTTTCAGATAGGCCCAGTGAGCAACACAGATTTATCAGTTGGATGTGTTTGCCAGCGATGTGTGTTTTTGAAGAGACAGCTTAGTATGAAATCCCACTCCTCCCTACAAGGGACAATGAGATTGTCTGGGCATCGTTTGCCTCTGCTTTTCAGTGCCTGGCATGGAACGATACGAGGAGATGTCCCAAATATTCACTGGTTCCAGTGGCTTCTAGTAAAATTTGGTTTGGCAGGGATGGTTTGTGAAAAATAGCCTTCTTTGAAGTGGTGATGGTTGCTTCGAATGTGGATGGGGGAAACTCTTTTAATTAGTAGGAAAGTACTTAAAAAGAGTTAAGCACTAAAATTACAAAATAATAAACTTTTAGGATGCTAAAAGTAAAATAACAATGTTTCAGTGGACAAAAGGCCTATGTAGTTCTTAAAGAAAAACAGTAGCTTAAGGAAGATGTTCATTATTTTCATAGGGTGGCATTTTGTGGGGCTGGGGCTGCCTTTCTGTATTTAAAGTTTAGCTTCCCCTGTCCACCCTGATCCCAATATTGGCCAAAACCATCCAAGGGCGTGTCAGAAATGATGCACACAATAGTTGGCGATGAATGGCATTCTGCCTTTTACAAAACTCTGGAAGCAGCATGGCTTTCTTTCATATCAGGTTTGCAAACTTGTTGTCTTAACTTCTGCTGTACAAAAAAAATAATGGATACCATTTGGCTAGAGAGGCTTATACGTAATAAATCTTACTGCCACCTTCTACCTGTTAATACCAGACCGCATGGTTTCATGTCAGTATCACCTGTGTTCAGAGGGTGCTGCACTCTTAAGTTGGTACTCGGCTAAGTTTTACGCAGTGTAAACCCACTGAAATTAACAAACACGAGTAAGTTAAGTCCTGAGTAAAGCTTAGTTGAGGAGGATTTTTGGCATGCCATTGGATTGTTCCGGAGTTTGCTGGAATCCACTAAGACAGGGGTCAGCAAACTTTTTCAGCAGGGGGCCAGTCCACTGTCCCTCAGACCTTGTGGGGGGCTGGACTATATTTTGAAAAATATATATGAATGAATTCCTATGCCCCACAAATAACCCAGAGATGCATTTTAAATAAAAGCACACATTCTACTCATGTAAAAACACCAGGCAGGCCCCACAAATAACCCAGAGATGCATTTTAAATAAAAGCACACATTCTACTCATGGAAAAACATGCTGATTCTTGGACCGTCATTGATAACCCATAGTACATTGCTATGGTAACCCAGGTTTTGTGGGATTGTTACAACACATGTGGCTGATGTATGGGTGATTAAATAAAAAAATCTGGCATGTGGGGGGAAAGGAAAGAAAGAAATGTAGTTTGCTAAGTTGTACTGAAAAAGCCCTTTTTTTCCCGAAAAGAGCCGTAAGCAAAGGAAGACTAAGCTTCACCTAGTTTTCTGCTGACACAGTTAAATTTCCCAGAAATGAGCTTTGGGGTTTTTAGAGGGAGAGGGTAGTTGAGGGGAAAGGCAAATGACACTCAAAATGAAACCACAGAGCACCTCAAAGTTTCAGGTGGTGTTTATCTTGAGGCTGCTGGCTGCTGTTTCAAGACCACAACATCTGAGAGAGGACTAAGAAGGGTGTGGCAAATCAGGGGTCTGGAGGGACACCATCCATTCACTTTTATGGGAGTACTGTAGAATACATCTCTCCCCTCACCCAGCCTCCAAATTGAGATCATTTCTGTTCTTGTGGATTTCTGAATGGAACAGCAGAGTTCATGAATGACAGGATGTACGCACAGGAGTGATCAGATCACCACTTTGTTTCCTCAGACGCCTGGGAAGTGCTGATGTAAGATTTCCCAGTAATTACTGTTAGGGAAAGGGACGTGGTTGATGCTGTGGTCTAAGCCACAGAGCCTAGGGCTTGCCGATCAGAAGGTCAGTAGTTTAAATCCCCGCGCCGGGGTGAGCTCCCGTTGCTCGGTCCCTGCTCCTGCCAACCTAGCAGTTCGAAAGCACATCAAAGTGCAAGTAGATTAATAGGTACCGCTCCGGCGGGAAGGTAAACGCTGTTTCTGTGCGCTGCTCTGGTTCGCCAGAAGTGGCTTAGTCATGCTGGCCACATGACCCGGAAGCTGTACACCGGCTCCCTTGGCCAATAAAGCGAGATGAGCGCCGCAACCCCAGAGTCGGTCACGAATGGACCTAATGGTCAGGGGCCGCTTCTGGCAAACCAGAGCAGCGCACGGAAATGCTGTTTACCTTCCCGCTGGAGCGGTACCTATTTATCTACTTGCACTTTGACATGCTTTCGAACTGCTAGGTTGGCAGGAGCAGGGACCGAACAATGGTAGTTCAATGTAAGACCCCTCTTAAAAACATCTAAAGAAGGGTGGCTTTCAGAAGCCGCTTCCTTCCGCACCAGAACTGTGTTGCCTCAAAATCTCCCTTTCTTGCTAATGTATGGCAGGTATTCTGCGCCTTTTAATCTGATCTTCCAATTGTGTCATCGCTGGAGGTGGGGAGCATTAAGGGACCAAGGAGATTTGGGTGTTGAAAGTCTTAGAAGTAAATTTGGTTTTGAAGTCGCTGAAAGAGAATGCAGAACACCCTTCACAAATAAAGGATGGTATCTTGGGAACCAGCAGTAAACTTTTAAACCTGGAGTTAAGTTTACAACTTAAAGAAAAAATAAGGCATTTATTCCCTGTGTGTCCAAGATGTCTGCCAGAGGTGGAAAAAACCCTCTCTGAGAAAACTGCTTGGTATACCATAAAATGATAAGAGTCTAAAACACGGTGATCCAACTTTCCAGACCATGAGTACTGCATGAGTACACAGAATCCGCAGGCCACACACACACTGAATTAAGTTTCGATACCTTGAATAAAATGTTTTAATGTTATTTAATATACAATAATGTATCAGTAAATATAATTAAATGCACAATAAGTTGATTTAATATATTTAATTATTAAACAAAAGTAATAGATGTGCTCTCATCAACAATGCATTACCGAAATAATATTTTTTTAAGGCTTTCAGGAGTTTTTTCTCGAATGTTACCAAGGGCATTTTTTAAAAAAAGGCACCAGGGACTGCATGCTGGACCACCCTGGTCTAAAAAGACACATGACTGAATACATTTCAAGTTGAAAACTGGAAGAAGTCGGAGGTGTTTTATCTCCAATTAGCTCTTCATTGGTGCTTCCTTTTAGAACCTCTCTACTTTCTCAAGCATTTCCTTAACGTCACTTTCTCATCAGTACATGATCATTTTAGGGCTAGTGTTTCTCTTCCAGTTTGGCGTCTCCTGTTCGTGTCTGGCACTCACAAGAAGTAAACAGGTAAGGGCACCTTCCTGCCTTGAAGTTCATTCAGGTTTGGAGGGAACTCGTGGAGTGTGTTTTTTAACCTGCAGCTCAGGTTGGGAGAGAGATATTGCTTGGGAGAAAAACGAAAAGGTAAATCTTCATTTGCACATCACTACTTCCAGCTCAAAGGGACGTGGGCGGCACTGTGGGTTAAGCCGCACAGCCTAGGGCTTGCCGATCAGAAGGTCGGCAGTTTGAATCCCTGTGACGGGGTGAGCTCCCGTTGCTCGGTCCCTGCTCCTGCCAACCTAGCAGTTCGAAAGCACGTCAAAGTGCAAGTAGATAAATAGGTACTGCTCCGGCGGGAAGGTAAACAGCGTTTCCGTGCACTGCTCTAGTTCGCCAGAAGTGGCTTAGTCATGCTGGCCACATGACCCAGAAGCTGTACGCCGGCTCCCTCGGCCAGTAAAGCGAGATGAGCGCCACAACCCCAGAGTCGGCCACGACTGGACCTAATGGTCAGGGGTCCCTTTACCTTTACCTTACTTCCAGCTCAATTGCACCCCCTTCCCTCCAGCGCATCCCATCCAGATCTTAAGCACATCAGCGAGTTTCTTCTATTAATTGGGGATGCCGGACGAAAGAGTAGGCTCAACCTCCTCTCCCTATAGCACCTTTACAGTTCCGAGCACACAAAAGTTGCAGGCTAGTGACAATGTGTAGTAGCCTGCTGGAGACTGGTGAAAGAGGGACAGGTTGTTCCTGCCCTTTCCCAGCAGCCTGTTGCAATCCCTTCCTCTGTTCTTCCTCTGGCAGCCTACAGTCGTACCTTGGAAACCGAACGGAATCGTGTCCGTCCGACTTCTAAAACGTCCGGAAACCAAATCACAGCTTCTGATTGGCTGCAGGAAGCTCCTGCAGCCAATCGGAAGCCGCGGAAGCACCATCGGGCGTTCAGATTCCAAAAGAACATTCGCAAACTGGAACAATCACTTCCGGGATTGCGGCATTCAGGAGCCTAAATATCCGATTTCCAGGGCGTTTGGGATCCAAGGTACGACTGTATTTGGTTTCTGTGCTGGGAAAGGGGAGGGCCTCTTCCGCAAGACTTCTCACTCACCCACATGCAATTCCTTCTTGGCCATGGATACCAGGCCACTACGTAAATAGCAAGGTTGCTTTAGTAATTGATTTTGGGGTGCTTTTATTCTAATTTAACCATTTACCATGAATTAAACTTGCCACCACCACAGCAAAAAAAATTCCTGCTATTCGTTATGAATTGAGAGGGGATTGTATTTCAAGTAACACGGAATGTCTGCCCTCCCTATTTTTTACTTTCCTCTCAGGAAAGTCTCCTGAATGGTGCGTGGGAAATGAGCAACGACACCAAGAAGTCACTGGAAAACAGATTTAACTGCTGCGGGCTATTCAACAACTCTCTCGAAGCTAGCAAGAAATTCAAGGCTGATGTTGAAATGTGCAAAGCGGTAAGTGTTCACTTCACCTTGAACCCTTTGTGTCTCGGGTGACAGAGAAAGATCTCCATCCATCACTAAATTACTGGGGATAACGGATCTCAAATTAAGACGGCTTAGTCAAAGGTCTGCTCCTTGAAGGTGGCTGGGTGATTGTCCCTATACACTGTGAAAAATAGGCTGTCAATGAATATACTTAAATAGTGAAAACATATTGCTGTGATTGCAGTTGTTTAATTAAAGTTGGAAGTCATGGGCAATGATACAACCAGATTTGTGACTTGACCTAGCAGACCAGACCATTGATTGGCTTCTAAAAAACCATTGAGGTTTGTATGCACTGATAGTTGGCAATACCTAATGCCTGCGCTGATGGAGCAATCTGCATAGTGCTGTGTAGGATTTCCCCCAATGTACGGAAGCAGTAGAGAACCGTGTTAAAACACAGGCCATTTTAAAATAAACGAAACAGCAGTATAAATCCCGACAGCTAAAAAAAATAAATTATACAGTACATCTCTTTTTACTGGAGTCTCACTTTTCCTCTTCTGCTGCTGATGTCTACAGAGGCCTACTTTCCCTTAAGAAACCTTTTCTGTTCTTTCTACCTTCTTCCATTCAGGGCACTTAACCAATTCCTAAATTACCAGACCATCCGCAACTGTGTATTTCCTCCCATTGTCATTTTGATCAGTATGGCTGGCCATTTAAGACTGAACAGGGATCAAATCCAGTATTTTGCCTCTTCTTATTAGTACTCTTTAACACTAGCCGCCCTTCTGTTCCTTTTGTCTAACGTGCCTTGGGGTATTTCCCCTGCCCTGCCCCTTTCTCTTTTCTGTTATTTTCCAATTGCAGGGTTGTTTCTTTGCTTTTTCAAACTTATAAAATGGGCTTTGCCTAGGGATCCCCAGCTCTTTACAGAATATTTTTGCTAATATACTTACTGTCTCATACAGGATGAGCCAGACTTCTTCTGTCTGGGAGAGCCAGTGTGGTGTAGTGGTTAAGAGCGGTAGATTCGTAATCTGGTGAACTGGGTTCGCTTCCCCGTTCCTCCACATGCAGCTGCTGGGTGATCTTGGGCTAGTCACACTTCTCTGAAGTCTCTCAGCCCCACTCACCTCACAGAGTGTTTGTTGTGGGGGAGGAAGGAAAAGGAGATTGTTAGCCGCTTTGAGACTCCTTCGGGTAGTGATAAAGCGGGATATCAAATCCAAACTACTCTTCTTCTTCTTCTTCTTCTTCTTCTTCTTCTTCTTCTTCTTCTTCTTCTGTTTCACAGTTGCCTAGATAGAACATGGCATTTCAGGAGAAGACTAGCAAGCTGTATTTTCAGAGATGTTTGTCCATCATTACTGATCTTTCCCCGCTACATAGCGTAGAAACTGTGTCTCCCTGCAAGTGATAACCAGAGTCACAGTGCTTTTTTTCTTTTAACCTTCCCACCTTGCAGCCATGCACAAAATCAAAAACCGGGTGCATCAGTTGCGGTGAGGTGATGATGGAACATGCGGGCGAGGCCTTGAAAATCCTTGGTGGAGTTGGACTCTTCTTCAGTTTCACAGAGGTAACTATGTCTATTAGGCTGATTGGGGGAGGAACAGGAGAATATTCTTTGTACATCATTGGTAGCTTTGCCACCCCCACCCAGGGCTCTTCCTGTACAGCTAAGAAGCAGAATCTCAACAGCTGCAGACTGTGCTGGTATGAATGGTAATGAAGTAAAAAATCGTACCAGTTTGAATTTCTGCCTGATAATTCAGATATTTAATAAAGGAAACTAGCTGCACTGGGGAAAGAGGGCAGCCATTAGGCTAGATGGATGGTTGCTTCGGGACGCGGATGGCGCTGTGGGTTAAACCACAGAGCCTAGGACTTGCCGATCAGAAGGTTGGCGGTTCAAATCCCTGCGACGGGGTGAGCTCCCGTTGCTTGGTCCCTGCTTCTGCCAACCTAGCAGTTTGAAAGCACGTCAAAGTGCAAGTAGATAAATAGGTACCACTCCGGCGGGAAGGTAAACGGCGTTTCCATGTGCTGCTCTGGTTCACCAGAAGCGGCTTAGTCATGCTGGCCACATGACCCGGAAGCTGTCTGTGGACAAACACCGGCTCCCTCGGCCAATAAAGCGAGATGAGCGCTGCAACCCCAAAGTCGGCCACGACTGGACCTAATGGTCAGGGGACACTTTACCTTTTAAACTTGTCAATAAGACCTCAGTAGGGAAAGGGCTGCAGCTCAGTGGTGGAGGCAGGTGGTCATAGGTGCAATTCCAGGTATCTGGGCTGGGAGAACCTCTGTCTGAAACCTGAGAGAACTGCTGTCAGTCATTCTGGATGATACTGAGCTAGATTTGCCTTGGTATAAGGCCGCTATGATCCTGCCAACCAGCAGTTCAAAAGCACATCAAAGTGCAAGTAGATAAATAGGTACCACTCCGGCGGGAAGGTAAACGGCGTTTCTGTGCGCTGCTCTGGTTCGCCAGAAGTGGCTTAGTCATGCTGGCCACATGACCCGGAAGCTGTACGCCGGCTCCCTCGACCAATAAAGCGAGATGAGCGCCGCAACCCCAGAGTCGGCCACGACTGGACCTAATGGTCAGGGGTCCCTTTACCTTTACCTTTTATGGTTGCTTCACCTTCTCTTGACATCCCATCAAGGCGATTCTACATCTTCCCTATTTGGAGAATTCAGTTTGGATTGCATCTCTGATGTGACCCACATCATCACGATAGTTAATACTCCATAAGTAACATATTGAACAAGGTGATTTGGGGTGTGATTTTTCAAGTAAGTCCCATAACTAGATCCTTCCCCCCTTTTTCTCTTCCAGATCCTTGGAGTGTGGCTTGCCATGCGCTACAGAAACCAGAAAGACCCCAGAGCCAACCCCAGTGCCTTTTTATAGACCATCACATTCCCCCATCTTCTCTCCACCACCTTCCCCAACCAACCATGTGTTTTCCTTTTAATTAGTTGCACGTCCCTTATTCAAGAGATCCTTTTCCGTCATGCAAGAAGAAAAGCAATCCTTGAAGCAGCTGTGAGGGAGCTGGGGTTTTTGCCATTCTGCCAAACTGCTGATTGGATGAAATAGCAGAGCAAAGGTTCCATCCTTGACATGAAGCCTTTGGCAGGTGGCAAAGACGACTCTGCCTTTTTTGGGGGGGAAATATGGAGTTATCCCTTTGCAGAGTCACTTATCTAATTGCAGCTCATAGCTACAATCACTTCTGTGTTTTTAAAACTTGTACTTTGGGTCATTGTCTTTAGTGGGGGGCTTTGTTTTTAAGGCACGGGTTGAGGGGAACCTGTGGCCCTCCCAGATGTTGCTGGACTCCATTTTCCATCACACTTGGTTTTGCTGTGGTCTCACTTGGGCTGAGGGCAGTAGACATGAGAGGCACGTGCAGCGATTCTGTAAGGGAAGTTTTTAGATTTCAGCTGAACTAGATGGCTGGGTCTTTTTATTATTATTATTAAGAAGTCGTGGGGTTTTTTTTTTAATCCATAAGTTGAATTTTGCCTGACTTAATCATAAGTGCAGGTTCCCTCCTTCCGAAGGGAAAGCAGGGGCCTGTGTAAACCTTTCAAAGAACTGGATCACCCATAATGTAACTGAAGTTTGCATCTAGTGTGCACATTTTTAAGCTGGCTTGAAAGTGGTTTTTCTGATGACTTGTTCTAAAGGAACAGAGGACCAGAATCTCGTCGGTCTACTGAGTCTCAGATTCCTAGTCCCTTTGCAGTCCTCCTATCCCTTTGGTTCCTTGACTGGGGAAAATAGGCTTGAAGCTGCTCGCAGAATAGATAAGTTCTATTGCTCCTAGAATATTAAGCGCTGTTCAGGCTCTTCTCCCCTAAATCGATCCAGTAAGGATGTACAAGGGAATGCATAGCTAGCTCCAGGGGCATGTTTTGAACCCTAGCCCAGTTCATGTCCCTGCAGATACTTCCAGCCTTGGTCTACTGTCATTTAGTTATAGATGGGCAGCAAGAAGCTGGAACCACAATTCCACTGAGCACCGAAATGCTGTAAATTTGTACTAAGCTCCTCCTGTGCTGGTGCTTTCAGCTGGCAGCCTAAGGGGGAAAACTGCTAAGCTGTGGGTGCTTCTTTCTTCTATCTATTTGTCCCTGAAAACTCACCTTGGCTGTTTTAGAAGAGGTTACCTGGACTTCAGTAGGGTGTCACCAATTTCCTCTCCAAGAATAATGCATATTCGTTATTGGAGCTTTTAGCTGCCTACAACGGACTCCTTTTGAAACCCAACATTACACCTTCTTATCCCCTGTAACCTTGGAAAACACCCACAATGGACTCCTTCCAGAGTAGCGGCTGGGCGGCGACGATGGCAGAACAAAGGATCCGGCAGCAGGACCGTTCAGCATCTCCACAGGCTCAACAAGGGTAGATGTGACCTACTGCCTTAAGGGGCGGGGCGGGGGAGAGTTACAACGGCGGAGACAATGACAGCCAGAGCGGGACAATAGGGGACGTTACTGCTGCAGCAAGAATGTTCCCTTTCCCCACAAACCAAGCCTCTTGGGGCAGCAAGGACTCTCCCATAAGGGGGAAGATGGGTGTGCCTACAGGTGAGAAGCAAAAGTCTGTTCCCTTAACCATCAGCACAAATGGGCACACACCTGGCACTTGGCAGAGTGGAGAAATGGAGACGTTGGAAAGCTAGGTTAAGAGGGCTGTGGGTTGTGCAGAAAAACATGCATGGATAGCATTAAGCCTGGGCCAGCGGTACCTGTGGCTCACAAACTGCTGTTGGATTCCATCTCCACTCTTGCCCCTGTCAGCAGTGTCAGGGGTGATAGGAGTCCTAGTTCAGCACCACCTAGAGCAGCCTTTCTCAACCTGTGGGTCCCCAGATGTTGTCGAACTGCAACTCCCATCAGCCCTAGCTAGCAAGGCCAGAGCTCAGGGATGATGGGAGTTGTAGTCCAACATCATTTGGGGACCCGCAGGTTAAGAACCGCTGATCTAGAGGCACAGACGTTCCTCAGCCCTGGCTCAATGTGAATGATCAAACAAGGAATTTCAGAGTGAAGACACTGGCTGCAGCACTCCTCCCTCCAGTGGTGCTAGCCAACACTAAACCATGGTTTGACAGTGCCACCACCAAACCCATTCTCTCTGCCTCCCCCTCCCACAAACACACGTTAAACAAAACAAATCTTGGTTAAAAGCTTGTGGTTCACGTACAATGAATGCTGAACCAAACCATGGCATAGCCCTGGAGAACATGGCAACTGCCATATTTCTCCAGGACCCCACTCGTTCACACTAAGCCATGGTTAGACACACACAAACCAGATTTTATACTACACCGCAGTGACTGCTCTAATGGGCACCATGCTATTTATTAATTTGGGGTGGGGGGAGAGACACCTTTTTGCAAACATGCACCAAAGTATGAGGCAGGTTGGATAAGGTGGCAGCTTCTGCAGAAACAGTTGAGCCAAGGCGTGTACTGATCAGGTGAAAAACTGCAGCAGGCAGTATGACCATGTACAACTAGTTACTGGCTTGAGCTTGGCCTAGCAAGGGCTAACAATATTTAAAAGCTAGAGATGGTATTGCTCTGTACTACCCTAGAGTAAGCCAGAAAGAGGACTTAATTCTATTAAGCAAAGCTGTTGGCACCACTCTTTTGAGCTAAACTGCTGGGGTGGGAGACACAAGGTAAAGCTGAACAGCAGCAGCAGGGGCTGATCAGAACAAGCTAAAATGCACTTTATTTAGGGTATAGAGCACATAAACGTTGCTATGACTCCTAGCCAGGTTAGTATTGCGAGCAGGTCTGTCATCCTATTTACTTTAGAGGAAAGACTAAACAATATGCCTGCTCAACCACAGGGCAGGCAGCTTTGCCGGCTGCTTCCAGGGCCCTGGGAGACTTCATTCAGTGCTGCCTAGTTGCCCTGAACTTTTGGTAGTGGGGGGAAGAAGAAGTGGCACAGGCTTAATGTGTGAGAAAAAAAGACGCAATGCTCAGAAGTTCACATCACCAGATGGCTTTGTTAAAATCAATATACTTCTACCATCATGTACACTGACCGCTGCCGTTGTAGACTGGAGTTACTATTTGAATAAAGTACATTTCTCTCAAACCCAGGCCTTGTGAGTCTCGGGGAGGAGGGTCGTAGAGAGCACACTTAAAAAAACAATATGGTACTCAAGTGCAAAATCCCACCAGCCATCTTGCTTGTCATGCAATTTTATGTGACCACCCTGAGATGCAAATTTAATTAATACATAATAATTTGCATGATTTATGTTTACCAAAGAGAAATGATGCTCAAGTCATTCTCAAGCTCTTAACAAGGACCCATCTTTATAGAGCAGGGATGGTGTTTCATCTACTAAAAAAACCTATGAAAAATGAAAATCTTCAACCCATTCTCAAAATTTTTGCATATCAGCATTCTTGCCAGCAGAGGGCAACATAATTCCCTTTGGATTTAAGCCAATTCAAGAGGCTTGTATCTTCAATTTTTTTTATTGATTTTCCAAATTTATAAACAAACAAACAAACATAAATCCTAACTGTAATTATTCCGCTATTAACATTGTTAGGTGACTTCCTCAAATCCCCCTGGCTGAGTTTCAATGTATATCATTGTAACAGTTTTCCAAAATTAATTTCTCATAAAATTTTCTTAGTCAATTAACTTCTCAAGAGGCCTATATCAAAGGAATAGCGGTGGAAGACAGCGAGCTCTTGCCATCTTTTAAGTGAGCATTGTCCGCTACCTAGAATTGCTTTGCAAGATCAGATCAGGTCTCCCCACAATCCAGCAAACCAGGCAGGTGAGAAGGCAATGGGCCTTCCTTCGCAGTTTGTCCCTAGCATCTACTATACAGAGGTAATAAGCTTTCTTATTAAAAGTTCTTCCAGTAACTAAGCTGTCAAGTGAAGACTTGTATGTGACACAGCTTGCCGCATCTCCTCCAAGCAATGTGATTTAATGAAGGAAGTTGACTGATTTGCCTGCAAGGCAACTGCAGGCTGGAGAGGCTCTGTGAAGTTATCTTTCAAGAGGTGACTGCTGCTTACCAGAAAAGGGAACTGCTTCTGACAAGGTTCTCATTTGAGAGTAGTAAGCAGTTTACTTGAGATAAGATTGCCTCTTGCACACAGGGCTGAAACATAAAGAAATACCCTCCAAATTTGGCAGCAAGGAAGCCCAAGAGTATATTTGCATCTACAATTCTCCAGTTATATGTTCATAATTGAGATATTCCAAAGGGATTTGGGGGAGAGATTGAAGATTTTCAATGGGCGAGCGCTGGCTCACTAGACAGGGGAGTGCAGAGGGTGATTTCCCAGGAAGGCGCTCTGGCAATCTTCAAAGGGACACCCACACATCCTGGCAGGAGTGGCCTGACTCAGACACGGGGCAAATTCTCACTCCTGTATTTGTTGTCGTTTAGTCGTTTACAACTCCTTCTGACCCCATGGACCAGAGCACGCCAGGCCCTCCTGCAGGTCTTCCACTGCCTCCTGCAGTTTGGTCAAACTCATGCTTGTAGCTTCGAGAACACTATCCAACCATCTCATCCCCTGTCATCCCCTTCTCCTTGTGCCCTCAATCTTTCCCAACATCGGTCATTTCCAGGGAGTCTTCTCTTCTCATGAGGTGGCCAACGTATTGGAGCCTCAGCTTCACGATCTGTCCTTCCATTGAGCGCTCAGGGCTGATTTCCTTCAGAATGGATAGGTTTGATCTTCTTGCAGTCCATGGGACTCTCAAGAGTCTCCTCCAGCACCAGAATTCAAAAGCATCAATTCTTCGGCGATCAGCCTTCTTTATGGTCCAGCTCTCACTTCCATACATCACTACTGGGAAAACCATAGCTTTAACTTTAACACCTTTGTTGGCAAGGTGTTGTCTCTGCTTTTTAAGATGCTGTCTAGGTTTGTCATTGCTTTTCTCCCAAGAAGCGGGCGTCTTTTAATTTCGTGGCTGCTGTCACCATCTGTAGTAATCATGAAGCCCAAGAAAGCACTTCTGTATACCCACAAACAAAGGCTTGCCAAATGTCCTGTTACATTATAAAATAGTTACCTGCACTGTTACTGTATGGGACGGAGCAGCTGCACTCCCAAGTGCCAAAAATCAGAGTTATTGGATTTTTGGAAGCAATTTCCCCCTCTAAGAAGATGGCCATTCAAATCTGCTTTATACTGAATCATATAGCACTGAAACACTGAAGTATTGCTCTCCCAACCTCATTCCCACATCTGCTACTCAAAACTCTTAAGATAGGAATTGAACCAGGCACCCTTCTGAATGCAAATTTTGGGCTCTTTCGCTGAGACCAAAATACAACATTCTCTATTATGGACAGGGTTGTGTTTTTGTTTTTTTAATAAAGGTTAAAGGGAACTGTAATGTGCTACTTAAGATCAAGTGAGAGATTTTACTTTCTTGGGCTCCATGATCACTGCAGATGGTGACAGCAGCCACGAAATTAAAAGACGCCTGCTTCTTGGGAGAAAAGCAATGACAAACCTAGACAGCATCTTAAAAAGTAGAGACATCACCTTGCCAACAAAGGTCCGTATAGTAAAAGTTATGGTTTTCCCAGTAGTGATGTATGGAAGTGAAAGCTGGACCATAAAGAAGGCTGATCGCCAAAGAATTGATGCTTTTGAATTCTGGTGCTGGAGGAGACTCTTGAGAGTCCCATGGACTGCAAGAAGATCAAACCTATCCATTCTGAAGGAAATCAGCCCTGAGTTCTCACTGGAAGGACAGGTCGTGAAGCTGAGGCTCCAATACTTTGGCCACCTCATGAGAAGAGAAGACTCCCTGGAAAAGACCCTGATGTTGGGAAAGATGGAGGGCACAGGGAGAAGGGGACGACAGAGGACGAGATGGCTGGACAGTGTTCTCAAAGCTACAAACATGAGTCTGACCAAACTGCGAGAGGCAGTGGAAGACAGGAGTGCCTGGCGTGCTCTGGTCCAGGGGGTCACGAAGATTCGGACACGACTAAACGACAACAACTTAAAATCAGATTCTTGAAACCAACGTTTAAGATTCCCATTTCAAAAAGCAAAGATTTTTCACCACCAGATTGAGTTGGTGGAAGATTCCCATTTCAGGACTTAGCAGAAATTGCCTCCACGTATCAGTGGATCAGCACTCAAGCAACCCATTCCCAGACACACACACTTGTTCATTCATCATACTAATAAAAACACGATAGATCTTCAAGTGACAGGAAAGGGGGAAGACCAAGCTATACTTGCCTGGCCCCCCAGCCCATCCATATTCTTTATTGAAATTTCGTTTTCGGAAGCTTTTTTTATATTAAAAAGGAAAGAAAAACTTCACATCAATGACTGGAATCAGCTGATCTCTCCATCTGAGCAGATCTCCCATGCCCAGATCCCAGATTACGTAGGTCTCTCCTGACCAGTGTCGTGTCAATTCAAAAAATTTTTCGAAAATGAATTGTGAATACTTTATACAAAAATATCCTTTGCTCCCGCTTTCACGGCGCTCGGTGTGTAACAAGTTAAGGCAAGGCTTTAGTGTCAAACTCTTAGCCACAGGAATGTGATAAAAGGCAGGAACATTATTGTGTGTAAACTGTTATAAAAAAATTATTCATTTTAAAAAAAAGTTATTGGAGACACCTTTGGCTATGAACTCAGATGGCACGAGAGAGATGCCTCTAACTGGGCTGTCTCAAACACAAACTGACCTTCAAGAACAGTGCTGGGACTCAGCCCAGGAACACAGAAAGTGAGTGTGCGCGTACATCTGCGAGGGTTGGCACAGAGATACCACAGGAATCCTAGTTATTTCCAGGGCAGGAAGGATTTCGGCGTTGCACTTCCTGCAACAGGCACCTTTTCGTTTTCGTTCCGCATGTTGGCAACGGCTCCGGCCCCCTCCCCTCAAAGTCCCAGCACAGCCAGGGGGCTTGGGAGACGTTCTGACTGCAGCCTCCAGGCGGGGGGCCAATTATCCTCATACACACGCAAAGTCTTTTTGTGTACAGTCTTTTCACCCCTTGCCAGGGACCTGATGGGATGTCGCTAGCCTTCACCTGCACTCTGGTCTCGGAAGTACTGGTGGTGCAGTGCTTTGAAGGCAGAGATCCGTTTGTACGGGTTGAATGTCAGCATTTCCTAGAGGGAGACAGAGTGGGAAACATTGTGAATATCACATCATTTTTCTCCCCCCCCCCCAATTTTTTTATTAAATTTTCCAAATTTAAAACAAACATATCATCGAACAAAAAAAGAAAACATCAAAAAACAAACAAACAAATATCCTAACTATAGAAGTTCCACTTTTGTTAACATTGTTAGATGACTTCCTCGACTCCCCCGGCTGAGTTTCCATATAAATCATTGTAGCAGTTTTCCAAAGCTAATTTTACATAATATTTACTTAGTCCAATTAACATCTTTCTTTCTTTTCATTTTAACTTTTATCCATAGTATTCTACAACATCACATATTTAAATCCTAGGCCAATTTGGTACTCGCAAGTAATTCTATTTAAGTTATCTTAACATATTTAACTAAATAGTCTTTAAATTTCTTTCATTCCTCTGGATACTCCTCCTCCTTCTGGTCGCGGACTCTTCTGGTCATGTTGGCTAGCTCCGAAAAGTCCATCATCTTCATCTGCCATTCCTCCACTGTTGGTACTTATTCCAATTTTTGGTCAGAAAAATTCTAACAGCAGTTGTGGCATACAAGAACAATCTAACATATTTCTTGAGCAATTCCAAACCTATTACAGTGGTACCTCGCAAGACGAATGCCTCGCAAGACAAAAAACTCGCTAGACGAAAGGGTTTTTTGTTTTTTGAGCTGCTTCGCAAGACGATTTTCCCTATGGGCTTGCTTCACAAGACGGAAACGTCTTGCAAGTTTGTTTCCTTTTTCTTAACACCGTTAATACAGTTGCGACTTGACTTCGAGGAGCAACTCATAGAACGCGGTGTGGTAGCCTTTTTGAGGTTTTTAAAGACTTTGGTGATTTTTGAAGCTTTTCCAAAACTTTCCCGAAACCGTGCTTCGCAAGACGAAAAAAATCGCAAGACGACAAAACTCGCGGAACGAATTAATTTCATCTTGCGAGGCACCACTGTATTCCAAGAAGAAAGGCCTCTGGTTTCTTGATAAATGTATATTTCAACATTTTTTTCAATTCATTATAAATCTTTTCCCAGAAGTCTTTCACCTTGGGACAAGTCCACCACATATGGTAAAAAGTACCTTCTTTTTCTTTACATTTCCAACATAGATTATCACTCTTATGATAAATCTTTGCTAGTTTTACAGAGGTTAAGTACCACCTATACATCATTTCCATAACATTTTCCTTTAACACCGTACATGCAGTGAACTTGACCCCTTTCCTCCACAATCCTCAAACATTATGTTATGTCCAACAACTCTTGCCCAATCTATCACCACAGATTTAACTTGTTCATCCTTTGTGTGCCACTCCAACAGTAAATTATACAAAATGTAAAATGAATATAACATCATTTTTCATCGCAGGCAGAACAGGGTCCAGACCTCCTCTGCGCAAGATCTGTAGGAGGGTACCCTGAATGTGTGCAAACCCCAAATTGGGACACAGTGTGCCTTACTCCAAGGATTCTTCTTGCTACACAGCTTACAGCTCTCGAACGTCTCTAGCATCCTATTTCGAAAACATTGCCCCGCATCATCCTATGACTAAGGGCGAGTTCACATGGCACATTATTCATACGGCGGTGATCGCCAACAGCTTGAACAGATGAAAAGCCAGCAGTCCCTCCCAGTTACCAAACATTTGAGTCACCGACATTTGTTGCCTGTTTACTTCCACAGACAAATTTCCCCCAAAGGCAGGTCACTAAGAGCCAATGACTTGGCCATGTGGCAACTTCTTCAAATAGTTTGCTTAGCAGAAATGATAAAACCCTCCCCCAACCTCCAGATACTGTCAGATTTCCAAATGCCGTCAGCCCTAACCAGCAGGGCGGCCAATGGTCAGGGAAGAGGACACGGGTTGGGAGTCCCAACAACATTCTGAGAGCTCAGCTAGTCTAGGCATATTTAGTTTTGTTGTGCACTTCGATAAATCGGGGGGGAATTTAATAATGTCCCTCACACTTTCCAGCCAAAGCAATCTACGATCAGGACCAGTTTTGCCACTGGAAAATACTGCTGCTTTAGATTGCTCTCCAGGGTGGATTTATAGGTTAATGATGGACGTGGATTAATAATAATAATAATAATAATAATAATAATAATAATAATAAGAAATAATAAAGGTAAAGGACCCCTGGATGGTTAAGTCCACTCAAGGGCGACTATGGGGTTGTGGCACTCATCTTTCAGGCTGAGGGAGCCGGTGTTTTTCCACAGACAGCTTTCCGGGTCATGTGGCCAGCAGGACTAAACCGCTTCTGGCGCAATGGAACACCGTGATGGAAACCAGAGCGCATGGAAACACCATTTATCTTACCGCCGCAGCAGTACCTAATTATCTACTTGCACTGGTGTGCTTTTGAACTGCTAGATTGGCAGGAGCTGGGTCAGAGCAACCGGAGCTCACCCCGTCGCGGGGATTCGAACCGCCGACCTTCTGATCGGCAAGCCCGAGGCTCAATGGTTTAGACCACAGCACCAGCCACATCCCTTGGGCGTGGATAGAAGGCATTCAGCATAGGCACATCGCTCATGCAGTGCTGCCCAAACCACACTAAGATCTGCCCTCACAGTGCACAAGAAGAGTAGATCCCAACTACTGGAGAAGAGCGCTGCATAAATATTAAGTGCATTTCATCCACTCTTGAAGCCACCGTGGCGGAAACAGTGAGGCCAAGGCCACCCAGCTTATTCAGGATTAAATCTGGGTCCGTGGGGGAGGGAGGCACAGCTCATGCTTTTAACCATCATTCCAACTCCAGCTCTCAGATCCACCTGCTCCCCTGATCTATTCTCCATGCCTCACACGGTGACCTGCCCATCTCTGTGGAACGTACCAACAGCAGCTGAGCTCCCAGGGGTTCGATTTCCGGCACAAACTTCTCGACGGGCTGCGGGGAGCGAGCAGCAAAGGCGCAGCGTGGCAGAGACACGTCCAGGGGCCAGTCCTCCTCGGATGGGAGCCCGATCAGGCTGCAAGTCAAGGAGAGATTGTGAGCCAGAGTCGCCTGGTGGCTTCCCCAGAAGGCAGCCCTCTGCCAAGATGTGTGGGAGGTTACCAGGGTTCAAGACCATCACCCCAGCAGCATGCCAGCTCCTGAGCCCGGGACGTCTGGTTCATGCCCACCACAACAGCGTTGGTCAACATAGGAGTGCTGTTGTGCTCAGCTCCTGTCCATGGGGTTGGCCACGGTGAGCATAGAGTTCTGGACTAGATGGGCCTTTGGACTGCAGCGTCCCAGTCCCCTTGCCTCACCTATTCCCATATCACACTGCTCGTGATTGTGCCAGAAGTAAAGGTAAAGGTAAAGGGACCCCTGACCATTAGGTTCAGTCGTAGCTGACTCTTGGGTTGCGGCGCTCATCTCACTTTATATGGGCCGAGGGAGCCGGCATACAGCTTCCGGGTCATGTGGCCAGCATTATTAAGCCACTTCTGGCGAACCAGGGCAGCGCACGGAAACAACGTTTACCTTCCCGCTGGAACGGTACCTATTTATCTACTTGCACTTTGACGTGCTTTCAAACTGCTAGGTTGGCAGGAGCAGCGACCGAGCAACGGGAGCTCATCCCGTCACGGGGATTCGAACCACTGACCTTCTGATCAGCAACTCCTAGGCTCTGTGGTTTAACCCACAGCGCCACCCGTGTCCCTTGTGCCAGAAGTAGATCCCCTAAAATTATCCGCTTCGATTTTTGTTTTTAATCACCTCTTCCACGTTTTACAGTTTAAGTCACCCTGGAACCTTCGTAACTTTTCCGTTTCTTTAAATTTCAAATTCTTGTGCTTTTCAAGGAAACCTTTAGGAAACAATCCTTTTGATTTTTGTGAGGCTGAGCCCACTTACCCAGGAGTAAGCATCAGTGAACCCAATTAAGCTTACTTCTAAGTAGACGCATACAGGATTGTCTAAGTGGGGGACTTCATAGATCATTCTTGCCGCTCCTTTTTCCCTTCCTTTCTACTGTTCATCCCACTTCAAGAGTGAGACACGCACCTTGAACTACTTTAGCTTCTCACAATGTTGGAATGAGTTTAAGAGACCTGCCAGACTAAATAATCCAACATTTATTTGCATTCATTATGTAAGTAGCATATTTGGAAAACTTGGAAGTTTTCTGACTCGTGCACGCACAAATTTCATTGTGAATGATCCAGAGACCACCTATTTCAACTCCTTGCTGCAAGTCAGGATCTTTTCCTGCTAACCAGCAATCATCAAACCCAGTGCAACCTTCAATTAACTGGGGCTGTCAGAGCAGATAACTCCAGCCGACATCACCAGACAGGTCTGTGCTCTGCAGCGGAGAACACACACTCGTCACTAAGACGAGGCAATGTGAACTGGGTGGGGAGAAATCCCTCAGGACCCCAGGCCAGAATTTACTAAGTAATAATAATAATGAGGAACTTCTCTTACGCATACACATGCCTTGACTTAGCACGCTCATAAAAACGAGCAGAGTCATGCACGATTATGCTGAGTAAGGCAGATGACCTAACGAAAGAGATCTCCCTTTCCCCCAGTGACTTTCACCAGCCCTTTGGAGCAGACAAAAAGGCGAGACTCACTCAAAGATCTTGCCTAGCTGGTCAGCTTCAGAGTTGCCACAGAAGAGGGGCCTGCAGAGAAGACAAAAGGGAATTGTGGTTACTTGTCATCGCAAGCCCTAAACATGAATTACCAGAAACCTCTGTCATCAGTTTTTTTGAGTTCACGTGTAGGACATGTGATATATTGTGTCACTGCAATACTGGGACTGTATTACAGGCAGTCTGTCACAAGGCAGTTGCGACTTGAGCCACAGAACCAGGAAACGTAACATTCAAAATTGCACCGGGCAAATACAGGGTTCCCTGGTCCAAGCCATGCCCCAGACAATGGTGGCTAGCAAACAATGAGAGATGGGGTGAGGCCAAGAACAGATCTATTGATAAGGTTGTAGCACCTCAGGATAGTCCAGTTACTCATCCCACTGGTCAACTGGAAGGCTAACCCTTCCCCAGTGGTCCATATAATGTCACCAAGCAATGACAGAGGATTTCATCATACACACAGCAACTTCATGAACCCTCTCACACAACCAAGGAAGTCTTTAAGGAGAGCACGACAACTTTCAAAATTAACTTTTTATTTTAAAAGGTTTATAGAAACACCACCACTGCTACATTTACGACCAACCCTTTCTCCCTCATTTGACCCTAGCCATTACCCTGTGAGGTAAGTCAGGCTGGAAGAAATACAGTCATCAAAGTCTCGCGGTTTCACAGCTGGGCGGGGATTTGAACCCTGGTCTGCCAGGTTTGAGTTCAACCACCACACCAGCTCATGAATGGCTCTGCTTCCCCCATCTTTTGGTGGAACCAGGGATTTGCACAAGAAGATCCCTTCTACAGGACTTTGTGAAGCCAAGTCTACATGCCAAGTTTCTGCACTCCTGTGTCAAGGTGGAGAGCCAGAAGCGCAGGAAGCACTCATGGAAAAATGCTCTGGAAGGAGGCAGCCATCGTTTTGGCGGCAACTTCCTGTTGCGCCATGCCCCCTTCTGCACCTGAACATCTGAACAGAAGTGGACACCTGGTGTACCATGCCTCAAATAGAAGTGCTTTTAAACAGCAGTTCTTCAGCCATTTCAAACCTGAAACCTACCTTAATCTAAATAACCATCTGGGGACCCACTTCTTAATCGATCAACATTATTTATTTGTATGGTGGTATGGTTGCAAAATAATAATAATAATAACAATAATAATAATAATAATAATAATAATAATAATAATAAATTTTATTTATATCCCGCCCTCCCCAGCCAAAGCCAGGCTCAGGGCGGCTAACAACAAACAAATAATCAAACAATCAAATAATCCAACATTCTAAAACATTTCATTATAAAAATTAATTAAAATCAAATTAATGGCAACCGTTAAGCAAAGTTCTGTGCAGGTTGCCAGAGGAGGGAGTCAGGCTGGGCCCTGACCAAAGGCCTGGTGGAACAACTCTGTCTTGCAGGCCTTGCGGAAAGATGTCAAGTCCCACAGGGCCCTAGTCTCTTGTGACAGAGCGTTCCACCAGATTGGAGCCGCAGCCGAGAAAGCCCCGGCTCTAGTTGAGGCCAGCCTAACCTCTCTGTGGCCTGGGACCTTCAGGATGTTTTTATTTGCAGACCGTAGGTTCCTCTGTGGGGCATACCAGGAGAGGCGGTCCCGTAGGGTACGAGGGTCCTAGGCCGTATAGGGCTTTAAAGGTTAAAACCAGCACCTTAAACCTGATCCTGTACTCCACCGGGAGCCAGTGCAGCTGGTATAGTACCGGATGAATGTGATCTCGCAGCGAAGACCCCATAAGGCTGGGGTGGATGAATCCCAAGCAGGAATTAAGATTGCCGGAAGAAATATCAACAACCTCTGATATGCAGATGACACAACCTTGATGGCAGAAAGTGAGGAGGAATTAAAGAACCTTTTAATGAGGGTGAAAGAGGAGACCGCAAAATATAGTCTGAAGCTCAACTTCAAAAAAACTAAGATCATGGCCCCTGGTCCCATTACCTCCTGGCAAATAGAAGGGGAAGAAATGGAGGCAGTGAGAGATTTTACTTTCTTGGGCTCCATGATCACTGCAGATGGTGACAGCAGTCATGAAATTAAAAGACGCCTGCTTCTTGGGAGGAAAGCAATGACAAACCTAGACAGCATCTTAAAAAGTAGAGACATCACCTTGCTGACAAAAGTCTGTATAGTTAAAGCTATGGTTTTCCCAGTAGTGATGTACGGAAGTGAGAGCTGGACCATAAAGAAGGCTGATCGCCGAAGAATTGATGCTTTGGAATTCTGGTGCTGGAGGAGACTCTTGAGAGTCCCATGAACTGCAAGAAGATCAAACCTCTCCATTCTTAAGGAAATCAGCCCTGAGTGCTCACTGGAAGGACAGATCCTGAAGCTGAGGCTCCAAGACTTTGGCCACCTCATGAGAAGAGAAGACTCCCTGGAAAAGACCCTGATGTTGGGAAAGATGGAGGGCACAAGGAGAAGGGGACGACAGAGGATGAGATGGTTGGATAGTGTTCTTGAAGCTACCAGCATGAGTTTGACCAAACTGGGGGAGGCAGTGGAAGACAGGAGGGCCTGGCGTACTCTGGTCCATGGGGTCATGAAGAGTCACCTAAACGACTAAACAACAACAAATGGTTGCTGTTACCCATCTTACGCCAGGCAGCAGTGGCCTCCAACTCTCCAGTTGAAAACCAGTGGATTAGACACAACACCAATTGACAATAGTCTCTTCAAGCAGCTTTTTTTCGTAGGGGGGTGGAGGGGGTGGTCAAGAAGGCGTCTGACTGCTCTGACAGTGCATGACAAGGAGGGTTTGCAGAGAGATTGATGAGCATTCTCAAATGCCAAATAATACGCAGATTGAGTTGACAGACCAATCTAGCTGCCACCTCACCGCAGCGGCGTCTTGAACAAAGACAGTGATCTCAGAAACACACAAGGCGAATGAGCACACAGTTGCAAGCCAACGTTGAGCCAAATACTGAATCATATTAATTCACCAAGAAGCAGTGGGAGGAGAATGCTGCTCTATTTTATGTTTTTATGATGTGAATAATTTTTTTTAATCATGATATTATATTTTACTATGTATTGTACACTGTTTTGATTTTTTTCCTAATATTAAGGCACCTAGAAATCTTCCTGGCAACCCTAACATTATTAGCTGTGAGGATATGTGATCGTTTTAAAAACGTTTTTGGATGCTCTTAATTTTTTTAGAAGTTTTGCTTAATTTATTTTTAACTATTGTGTTTTTCTGTCTTGTTAGTTTGCCAGATCCTGGGTCCCTCCCATCAGATGTCAAGGAAATAAACAACTATCTGACTTTTAGGAGGCATCTGAAGGCAGCTCTTAATAGGGAAGTTTTCAATATTTGATGTTTTACTGTGTTTGTTTTAATTTATTGGAAGCCGCCCAGAGTGGCTGAGGCAACCCTGTCAGATGAGAGGCATATAAATGCTGTATTTTCCCGTCTATAAGACGCCCCAATAAGACGCCCCCTATTTTTGGGGACACAGATTTAAGAAAATGGAGGGAGATGTATCCGTGTATAAGATGCCCCCTAATTTTTTACATTATTTTTTAGGGGGAAAACCTAGTCTTATACATGGAAAAATATGGCAATAATATACTACTACTACTACTACTACTACTACTACTACTACAGCTACAAATTCCTTCCCAAACTGTCGTTTTCCCCAAAGCCTGAACAACATAGCAGAAGTGCCTGCGTGATTGTAGCAGGAAAAAAAGAAAAAGAAAGCCCCCAAACCATTTGCAAGCTTCTGCCCCCAACGGCATCTGTTGTCACTCCATCTTCTGCAAAGCAGGTCACCAGCTCCTCCCTGCCTAGCAGTCCTCAGCCCGAAAGATAAGCAAGACAGGAGGTTTGGGCAGGCCCAGCCCTAATCTATTGTCTTCCAGCTGTGCCGATGGCTTGGAGATCTAGCAAGTGGAACGTGCCCCAGAAATTCACAATATCAGTCCCCCAACTGCAGTTTGCAAATCCTTGGCAGAGTTTATATTGTCGAAGCGCACGGAAAGCAAGGAGGGGCAGCACGCAGGTCTTCAGAAGAGTGAGGAGACGTAACGTATTCTTGGGACTCACATCTCACACGCTACTTGTGTCTAAACCGCCCACCCCATTGTGCCTCACTGCTCCCATTAAGTTGGAGCGGGGTACATTTGACATAACCCGTGAGCCCATGAAACCCCCTGCTTGACTTGGGCCAGGCACTGTCCCTTAGCCTCTGACACAGAGTTGTTGTGAGATAAAGTGAGGTAAGGGGGAACTATGTACTCCACCTGGGGCTACTTGGAGGAAGTGGAAAATAAGTGTAATACAGTGGTACCTCAGGTTAAGTACTTAATTCGTTCTGGAGGTCCGTTCTTAACCTGAAGTACCACTTTAGCTAATGGGGCCTCCTGCTGCTGCCGTGCCGCCGGAGCACAATTTCTGTTCTCATCCTGAAGCAAAGTTCTTAACCCGAGGTACTATTTCTGGGTTAGCAGAGTCTGTAACCTGAAGCGTCTGTAACCCGAGGTACCACTGCAATGAATATGATTTTTCAAAAAGGCCAATACACACACACACACACACACGTGCAAACCTCCTTTCTCACCTAGTCCTCCCTCGCCTCTGCAAACAGCCAATCCATGCCAATTTGTGCAAAGCTTTTAACAAAATACAATGCACAAGACTACAAAAGTCTGCTCTGATTGGCAGGATTCAGGATTCAGGCAGGGGTCTTTTCCCCACCGTCAGGAAATGCCAGGGATTGAACCTGGCACCTTCTCCAGGCAAAGCACTTGCTCTTTCCCAAAAGAGGGGTGTCCTTGCCACAGAATGTGCCCTGCTGTGCCAGTTTCTGAAGGCACATTGGCTCCATCCATACTACCCATTGAAAGGAGCACTGTACCACTTTTGAGTAATCAATAGCGTCCCCCATTGAATTCTGGGAAGTGTGCTTGATTGTTAAACCACTCCGAGAACTCTCCAAAACAGCTCTCAGCACCCATAACAAACTACAGTTCCCAGGATGCTTTGGGAGAAGCCAGAGCTGTTTGAAGTGGGATGCTGCTGCTTTGAACATACGGTGCAGATGGGGCCTTTGGCACACAGCACTGGAGCTGCAGCAAATCAACTTCCCATCCAACAGCGGTGCCCCAATAGCTGTGTTGGAACCCCTCTAACGACAAAGGCCGCATCTGCTCAGCCAAAACACCACCCCATTCCCTGCGCCTGGTGAGATGTGCCAACCCTGCCGCCACCGCCCCACAAGCGAACGATCTTCCCGCGCCACTCACTTCCTCCGAAACATTTCCGCAAAGATGCAGCCGACACTCCACAGGTCCACGGGGGTAGCGTAGGCCGACTGGAGCAGCACTTCTGGAGCCCGGTACCAGAGGGTGACGACCTGTGGCAGAGATTTAGCAAGGGTTCACAGGTGAAGGAGGTGGCTTGTTTATAAAGCGCCCCCACCGCTTCCGCTCAATGCATCACCCTTGAGCAGCCCGTGCACTTTGGACCTAGTTCTCAAGAGACAGGCTGGGCATGGGGCCAAGCGCCATTCCTTTCAGCTACATGGGATGACCTTTCTGGCTGCTACTTTGATTGGCAAGGGGATACACCCAGCCCGTTCTACTTCCCAGGGGGCTCCTGGTCAGCCACCCTCGGCTGGGATTCAGCAGAGCCTTACAGTCTGCAGCTCTGTGTCCCAGAGTCAGGCTTCAAGGAATCAGATCACGGCTGGCAGCCAGAAATGGGAAAACAAGAAGTTCTTACCATGGTATTTCACTCAATATTCACAGAGAGAGATGGATGAGGCCAACTTTCAGATAATGGCGTTGCTCTGAGTAAGGTCCCACCCCCTCCGTCTCTCCTATTCTACGTCATCCCTGCATTGGCTGATCTGTGCTCTCTGCCTCTGAGCTTTCTGTTCTACTACTCTCAATGCATGCCTGGTCTGGGGGTGTGCGTCAGGAATGCTTTCAAAAGACACTGAGTGTGTCAACAGTCTCTCCCCTGGTGCTTCTACTTCCTGCTGCTCTCCCAATATTTCCCAGCTTCTCCCCTCTGCAGCCTCTGAACTATGACCTTCTGCAAACCACTGTTCTAAATCTATAATGCCCTCCTCTTCTTGGGAAGGTTCAGGGAGAGTGGGGGGACGGGTGGTCCCCACCATTCCTCCTCAGTCCAGTCCCTGACACCCAGGCCTGAAAATGGTCTTCTGTGTAACATGGGTGGAGAACCTGGTACCCTCCTGATACTGCTGGGACTGCAACTCCCATCACCACCGCTTCCCACCGGCCATGCTGGCAGGAGTTGGAGGGCCATAGGTTGTTCTCCATCCCTACAGTGTAACGTACCTGCCCCATGGATACTCTGGCGGTCTCCTTTTCGTGCTGTGCTTAAATCAACAGAAGAAGAACCAGACAGAGAGCCGCCCACCCTGTATCGGCTGAAAAGATCCAAAGATCTGAGAATTCCCTAGTCAATGTGCAAGCTGGTCACGCAAGCCAGAGCAAAAGCCCTTGGATCTTTCACAGGACCCAGCCAAAGCAGACTCACCAGTGGCGTCAGAGCCATCTGGCAGCTGTAGATGCGAGCCAGGCCAAAATCAGCCAGCTTGACTTGACCAGAGCTGGTCACCAGGATATTCTCCGGCTTGAGGTCACGATGGACAATGCAGTTTGAATGCAGGAATTCCAAGCCGCTCAGGAACTGGTGCATCATGTCCTGGGAGGGGAGAAAAAAGAGCATGTTGCATCAACACCCACATTTTAAATGCCTTAAAAAGGTTAAGGGACCCCTGACCATTAGGTCCAGTCGTGACCAACTCTGGGGTTGCGGTGCTCATCTTGCTTTATTGGCCAAGGGAGCCGGCGTACAGCTTCCGGGTCATGTGGCCAGCATGACTAAGCCGCTTCTGGCGATCCAGAGCAGTGCACAGAAACGCCATTTACCTTCCCGCCGGAGCAGTACCTATTTCTCTACTTGCACTAGTGTGCTTTCGAACTGCTCGGTTAGCAGGAGCAGGGACCAAGCAATGGGAGCTCACCCCATCGCGGGGATTCGAACCGCCGACCTTCTGATCGGCAAGTCCTAGGCTCTGTGGTTTAACCCACAGCGCCACCCGTGTCCCTTTAAATGCCTTAGGGACCCCATATTCAGATGCCCCCTCCCAAGTACCATCCCAACATCAATTCAGTATGCTCATAGGGATGTTTACCTTTATTACCTCCACGGGTAAGCCGGGAGGTGGCGTTTTTTCCAAATACGCTTTCAGGTCCTGATCCACGTGCTCAAAGACCAGCGTCACTTTTGTCTCGCGCTCCGTCCGTGTTGTCGTGCAAACATCCATTAGCCTACAGGGTGAGGAAGATGCTTATAAAGTGCTTCAGAACTACGGGGGGGGGGGGGAGGGAGGGCAGGGAAGGATGGGGCTTGTGACATTGGGAAGTTAATAATAATAAAAATAATAATAAGTCGGCTCCAAATAAGAGCCTCAAATAGGGCTGGTGCGATCCAGGCACTTCTCCAAATGCAGAAATCTGGAGCCTTTCATAGCCCAAGGCTGACGGAAAAAGTAGGAGGAGAAAGAAACATAAATCGGACCTTCGTAGATAAGCCAGAGGCACCGAATGCACATTCCCTCTGGGGCAAAACACCCTAGGAGGGTGAAAAGCAAGGGTCAGCGATGGGTGTGGCCTGTGGAGGGGGTGTGGCCTGTGAGCCAGAGGGTGGAGATTCCCCACCCCCGTCTTGATGTAATGAATTCTGTGGAATGCTCTCCCCAGGAAAGTTCACCTGGCGCCTTCATTATACACCTTTAGGCGCCTGGCAAAAACGTTCCTCTTTAACCAGGCCTTTGGTTGATCTGTATGACATCCTATACCCTTTTAAAATGGGGCTCTTTTCTGAGGGGGGTGTTATTGGGTTGTTGTTTTTATTCTGCTTACATATGGCGTGATTTTTTTCTGTGAACCGCCCTGAGACCTCCGGGTATAGGGCGGTATATAAACTCAAATAAATAATAATAATAATAATAATATGTGGTGCCTCTGGATGCGAACAGGATCTGTTCCGGAGCCCCGTTCGCATCCTGAAGCGAGCGTAACACGCGACTGCGCGAGTTGCGTTTCACCACTTCCGCGCATGTGCGTGACGTCATTTTGAGCATCTGCGCATGCGCGAGCAGCGGAACCCGGAAGTAACGCGTTCTGTTACTTCTGGGTCGCTGCGGAGTGCAACCCGAAAATGCTTAACCTGAAGCGTATTCATCCGGAGGTATGACTGTAATAAGGCTGGAAATGATGCAGACTGCCAACAGCCTATGGCCACAGAACTGAAACTGCGAGAACATCACTTGCTCTAACTTATGCCACCCCGCCCACTGTTAATTCTGGCCCAGATCATAACAAACTGCACCTTCCAGACCCACGTTGCTGTAGGCACAGGGTATTTTGATTGCCTGCTCATCTGCCAGAACCCTTTCGTTCCTCAAGACCCACCTCTCACAGCTGTGGCATCCTGCGGCCCTCACACTTTCTCTCCTCCCATATCCCCCCGCTCCACACTCGCTTGCTCCTCTCCAAAGTCCTCCTCCCATTCCAGCCTTGCAATTTCCCCCCACAATTCACCTGCAGTTTCTGCTGAGAACTGTCCCTCAAGGCAAACACTATCGGGGTTGTAAACCGTCTGCCTAACCAAGTCCTCTGCTCTCCCTTAGTCAGGAAACAACTCAAGAGAGCCGGGGTGGGGGAACCAGTCTGATTCAATGCCCCTTGTCTGCAGGCCCTGAAGCTGGAGGACCCAGATTCTGAGTTTGGCCTTTCTGAGTCTCCCCAAAGGAAGGAGTGATCAACCCAACCTGCAGCCAGCAGGAAGAGTGGAAGCAGATGGACATATACAGTGGTACCTCGGGTTACATATGCTTCAGGTTACAGACTCTGCTAACCCAGAAATATTACCTCGGGTTAAGAACTTTGCTTCAGGATGAGAACAGAAATTGTGCTCCGGCGGCAGCTGGAGGCCCCATTAGCTAAAGCGGTGCTTCAGGTTAAGAACAGTTTCAGGTTAAGTACGGACCTCCGGAACGAATTAAGTACTTAACCCGAGGTACCACTGTACCATATAGCCGATGTGGACAGGCCTGCATAACCATAAGCAGTGCTTTCTTTTTTTTCCTGGGCAGACGCAGGGGTACGCATACCCCTAAACATTTTGTGAATCTAAGTTTGGCCTCATTGAGGGGCAGTATTTCAATATGAGTAGGAAAATAAGAGTACCCCTAAACATTTTTTTTTAAAGCACTGACCATAAGTGAAATCTGAAGCAAAGCATTGTGGGAAGTGAGTTGCTTTTTTAAAGGTTCGGGATCCAAGGAAGAGGGCCATCAGGAGATTTACTGTATATCACATCCCCTGTTTTTCACTCTGGGGCCAGTTAGTCCTGCTCCCTTCCTCTCTAGGTTTCCAAGCCAGGGATGAGAGCAGGGGTCCTCTGCTGACTCCACTGCCTTTGCTCTGTCTGCATTACCGACGGGGAGCCTTAAACAGGTTTCACCACCTGAAAACGCCAGTCTGGGCCCGAAGGAAAATGCCAACAGAGTGGACTGTGTAAAGGCCACAGGCAGCTTGTGCAGACATCGGCTGCCTTTTCCAAAATGTACATTCAAACGCTGGTTCAGGGATAGGGAACCATTCTTAACCCTCTCTGGGATACCGGTGGTGGATGTAGCTAAAGGCAAGAGGGCAAAGCAGTAAATGTGAGCTGAGCTTTGGACAGAGTAGGCTAGTTTCCGCACACAAACGCAACCCCTCTCTCCATCCAGGGAAGCAAGAACCAAGATCAGAGATCAAGGACACATTCCAGCCAGGCAAAAACTCTCAAGGAGAAGGCAAAGCAGGGCCAGTGAGAGGTGTGGCTTGGCAGGACCAGAGGGACCTGGAGGGCCATAGCTGTCTCTAGGCCTGAGGCTCCCACCCCAGCTGTCACTGCTTACGGAATTGCTTCCCATTCAGTGTATTTAGGGTTGCAGCCCTAATTAAAGAGGAAGTCCCATCTTCCAAGGTTGACTCTACCCTCCCCCTAACAAACCCAACTATTGCCTCTATGCAAAAAACAAGAACCCCACAAAACACACCAAACCAATGGGCCAAGAACAGAAATTGCTGCCACCCCTGAAAGCAGTGTTCAAAATTAGCCAGGCGCCAGGCTTTCAACTACTTGCAACCAAGTGAAGATGCCTTGGCGCCAGGTGGCAACTGGAGGTGCATGCCTAGAGATCACTGGAACTGGGCTGTTTTCACTCACTAATGCCCCACCCTGTGGAATTCTATCAGTTATATTTTATCTGCACAATCGTAATGAATTTGAGGAACCAAAATGCTTTTTCTGTGCAGCCTGAGCAGGAGCAGTGAACAACGCGATAGTTAATTGTTGCAGCTCGTTGTCACTTACCCCACCCCACTGCCCTGCTCACAGCTGTGAAAAAATAATGTTACGAATGGTCCATGTCGCCATTAAGAAAAAGAGGTGGGAATAGGCCAATATATATGTGGACTGTCCCTGGATCAAGGGACTTTTCTTCTTTAAGTTCTCAAAACTCTTAACCTAGCTCAAGGTTGTCATCTGAGCTAGCCAGATGTTTAATTGATCGTGCATCATTTGAAAAGACTTTAGGGCCATCCTGCTCCAAAATGGCAACTTTTTGGTGACTCTAACCTTGGTTTAAGGAGCCATTTGGTGCCAAGCTTATAGATCTGAGTCTCTAACACTTCCTAAAAGGTAGGAGCAATGAGGGGGATCTTCCCTGTCAGCTAGCACCTTCCTGGGGTGCCAGTTTTCAATCACAAGACTCCGGGGACAGTAAAGGTGGTGCCCTACATAGGGAAACTGAATTGCATCTCCAGCTGGCATAGCCAGTCATGGAGAACATGTGGCCCTTCGGGTATTGCTGGACTCCAATTCCCATCAGCCCCAGTCAGCATGGTTAATGGTAAGAGATGATGGGAATCGGAGTCCAGCGACATCCGCTGGCTACCTTGCTCTGCTCTTCACTAAGTGAACAGGAGCTTGGTCTAAAGTTTGGATAATTTTGTGGGGAAAGGGTGCAGCAGACAGATTTGAACCAGAGGCAGGAACAGAGGCAGACAAACGCACTGTGTGTGTCTGCAAGTAGCCCACTTCCTTCCTAGTTCTTAAGAAATCCCAGCCTTAAGGCGAACCGGGCAAAATTCCAACTGGCCCAAGAACAAAGACAAGTCTGCTCCAGTCAAAGGAGAGCCATTCACTCTGAAATGGGCTCTTTCAGGAGGGTCTCCATGCCTCCTATAGGTCAGGTTATGAGCCAGCCATTTCAACAATCTAGGCCCATACACTATAGGTCTCGTCTGTGAGCGTCCTTCACCCTATCCCTAGCTTGTGTTCATGCTGGTGCAATTTTCAAAGAGGATTCTGGAACATTAAAAATGGCGGGACTTAGGCCAAGCAATAACACAAGTTCCTCTGGGCTTACAGGAGTCAAGACCAAGGCCTTAATTTGAGCTGGGCCTCTGGTCATAACCTCATATTCAATACAGTCCCGTCAATTCTGGAACATCACACTGTGATAAGATTATATCTGAGTATGTACAGAGTGCGTCTCCCTCCCATTCTAGCCTCAGCCTCCCCCTCTACCATGCTTGCAGCCCTTCAGATGTCCCTGACCACTAGTCTTGCTGACCCAAAGGGCCAGAGGATCAATACAGGAATGGACAAATACAATTTGGCACATTGCTCTACTAGAAAAACTGACATTACAAATAAAAGCAATGAGACATGATAGATTACTTTTCTGTTCAATGGTATAGATTTGCTCAATGGACAAAAGATAGCCCTAATAAAATCCTGCCGCCGCCCACTGAACTCTCTGGAGAGCCTTATTGGGATAAGGACAATGATTAAATGGTAAACTTGTTAAAATACTTGGAACGCAATGAAAAATAACGTCATCGTGGATACTCTACGGCTAATTTACTACAGAAGCAAAAACCATGCACATCATTGGTCTTTATAACTTCAGCTATGCTTCCTATGGATAAAAATTTAAATATGAATAGTGTGTTTAAAAATAAAAGATCTGAAGGGCCACAGGTTCTCCGCCCCAACCTATACCTTTGGAATTAATAGGTGTGTCTTAACATTCAGAGGCCATTGTTTCAGGTAGCCTTGGAATGCCGGCCTCCTTCCTCTCCCGCCCCTGAAAGAAATCGATTGCAGCACATGCCACAAAGCACACACTCCCAAGCCCCACCCTGGGATCCTTGCAGTCACGCCCCTCACCGAACAATGTTGGGATGGTCAAAGTGCTCCAGCCGCTTCAGCAAGGCCACCTCGCGGACGGTCGACAGCGGCAACCCGTTCTCGCTGTTCTGCACCCGCACGTTCTTGAGGGCCACAAACTTGCCGCTCTGCAGGTCACGGGCCTTGAAGACGGTTCCGTAAGCCCCGATGCCAATCTCCGCCACGGGCTCGTATTGATCCCGCACTCCCATGGCCATCCTGGCAGTCTGTTCCAAGAGGCCGCAGAGGCTTCACGAGATCGAGGGGAAAGAAGGTGGTTAACAACAGTTAGACTTTCCCTTACAGTAGGACAGCAGGTTCCCTCCCGTGTTCCAACGCTCAGCTCCCTCTCCTTCATTCTTCAGTGAAACGCCGGCCTGTTCCTCCCATGTAATATAATAATACTAATAATAACAATAATAATAATAATTTTTTTTAGTTATACCCCACACATCTGGCTGAGTCTCCCCAGCCACTCTGGGCGGCTCCCAATCAAATGTTAAAAACAGTACAGCATTAAATATTAAAAGCTTCCCTAAACAGGGCTGCCTTCAGATGTCTTTTAAAGATAGGATAGCTGCTTATTTCCTTCACATCTGAAGGGAGGGTGTTCCAGAGTGGGTGCCACTACCGAGAAGGCCCTCTGTCTGGTTCCCTGTAACCTCACATCTCGCAGGGAGGGAACCGCCAGAAGGCCCTCGGTGCTGGATCTCAGTGTCCGGACTGAATGATGGGGGTGGAGATGCTCCTGCAGATATACTGGACCGACGCCGTTTAGGGCTTTAAAGGTCAGCACCAACACTTTGAATTGTGCTTGGAAACGTACTGGGAGCCAATACAGATCTCTCCCGGCAGCCACTCCCAGTCACCAGTCTAGCTGCGGCATTCTGGATTAATTGCAGTTTCCGGGTCACCTTCAAAGGTAGCCCCACGTAGAGTGCATTGCAGTAGTCCAAGCGGGAGATAACTACAGCATGCACCACTCTGGCAAGACAGTCTGCGGGCAGGTAGGGTCTTACCCTGCGTACCAGGTGGTACACTCTTTTCTGATGTCACAACCGCACCACAAGTTTAAAGCGCGTTTGTAGCATTTCAAGAGACACAGCTTACTTCGAAGAATTCTTGGAACGATGGTTTGCATCTCACTGAGCTGCAATTCCCAGCACCCTTCACAAAACTATAGTTCCCAAGATCCACGTATTTTAAATGTATGGTGTGAATGTGACCTTGGCCTCTCTCTTTATTCCCTCACTCCAGATTCCAGGATTCCCCCTCCTCTCTAGTTATCCCTCTAACCTTTGCTTTCCCATCCCTGAGACAGGAGGAAACCATAGGGGGAAATTGGCTCTCTTGTTAGATGAGTTTGGAGCACCTTCTTTTAAGGGTGAAGAGACAGTCTGCCTTAACACTGGCCTTGGACCAGAGCTCCCCAAAGTCCAGTTTCCATTATCAAGAAATGTGTGAAGAGTACTTCTGGGCATGTGCAGATTATAGTAACCAGATAAAAGGAGACAAGCAGGGAAGCTATGCTTTGAATGCTTAAGCAGGAGAGGGAGTTTTGGCAGGCGCACAGCTAATTGCACCTTCCAATTTGTACACCATTATTTACAGCATTAAGAGTGACAAAAAAATCTAGCCTTCAAAGGCTTTCAATCAAGCCTTTCTAAGTAGCACTCCCACCAACTGATCCCTCGACACATGCACACCCAACCACTCCATTTTGGGCTAGCAGATACATTTGTTCCACTGAACACCATCAGTTGCTAGCACCTTTCTCAGACAGTGCATGTGCAATTGCTCCATGTGCATTGGGGGTGGAGGTGAGCAGGACCGCAACTGCAGAGACACTAAACCAGGGGTAGGCAACGTAAGGCCCGGGGGCCGGATGTGGCCCAGTCGCCTTCTCAATCCAGCCTGCGGATGGTCCGGGAATCAGCGTGTTTTTACAAGTGTGTGCTTTTATTTAAAATGTATCTCTGGGTTATTTGTGGGGCATAGGAATTCATTCATATATTTTTTTCCAAAATATAGTCCAGCCCCCCACATGGTCTGAGGGGCGGTGGACCGGCCCATGGCTGAAAAAGGTTGCTGACCCCTGCACTAAGTGCACATACTGTATAAACTAGGCCCCACATAAACACACCATCAGGGACCCTGCAAAAGCAGCATCCCCGATCACGCACAACTGTGTGGGTGTGTACTCAGCAGACAGTTTAGTGAACATGTGTAGGCCAAAGCCTGCTGCCATGTTCCCACTCTTGCCCCAACCTCACTCATGGAGTATACACACACACACACACACACACACACACACGTTGACTAAAAAGGACTCCTGTCTCATAATCACAAACCAGGAAGAGTGGGTGTTTTCCCCACCCTCTCAAGGCATGTGGGCGAAATGGGAATTCCAACTCACGTTATTACAGAACCCAGGGTGATCACTTACACAGGGTACAAGTGTGTCATCCGATGTACTTACTGACTCATTTGCACCTTGCTTCTCGTAATTCACCGTCAACTTAAACGGATTGTTTCTTGGCCTCTGTGAATGCACCAATGCCACTGCTACAGGGATGGCGGAACATGAGGCCCTGTAGATGTTAGGCTCCAGAACTCCCATCATCCACGGCCAACGGCTATGCTGGCTGGTTATTATGGGAAAGGTCAAGATCTGCACTACTGTTGCCCCAGATCACTTCACTTATAAGGCATGTTTTCATGCAAATCTTAAGCAAGATGTGTAAGCTTTCTCTCTCAGTAGATCAAGAGATTAGCTTTAATTTGGGAGCCTAGCAACATGGGGAGGCCCTGTCCTGCTGGGCAATACTGTAGGGGCACCTTTCTCCTGGGATGCAGGTGGCGCTGTGGGTTAAACCACAGAACCCAGGACTTGCCGATCAGAAGGTCGGCGGTTCGAATCCCCGCGACGGGGTGAGCTCCCGTTGCTCTGTTCCAGCTCCTGTCAACCTAGCAGTTCGAAAGCACATCAAAGTGCAAGTAGATAAATAGGTACCGCTCCGGCGGGAAGGTAAACGGCGTTTCCGTGCGCTGCTCTGGTTCGCCAGAAGCGGCTTAGTCATGCTGGCCACAAGATCTGGAAGCTGTACACCAGCTCCCTTGGCCAATAAAGCGAGATAAGCGCCGCAACCCCAGAGTTGGTCAGGACTGGACCTAATGGTCAGGGGTCCCTTTACCTTTCCTTTCTCCCACCACAATAATTGCTCCACACAAAAATCCCGCCGGCATCTTCTTCAGGATCCAGTCGAGGCACCAACTGGCCTACAAGAACACACCCTACCCCACAATGCAACAACACTTATGCGTCCCTGCTGCTCCCCACCACCTGGGACAGTTCAGTCAACAAAGCGTTAGGCTTTTCATCATGGGTTCGAGCCCAACGTTGGGCAAAAGATTCCTGCATTGCTGCGGGTTGGGCTGGATGACCCTCAGAGTCCCTTCCAACCTGGCGATGCCATGTTTTCAAGAGGGTTGGCCCCGTTGAGTTGGTGTCAGCAAAAGCGTGCATTTTGCAGGCGTTGAAAGAACAACCGCACAGGAGGCAAGAGTCCCCCGTTCCTCAGCTGCACGACGTTGTTCGCCTCGGGGCTTGCAATGCAAACTTCCTTTTTGAGCGCTGAAGATTTCAGCGGCAGGCCATTTTGCTGAGCAGAAGTCAGAGAGCAGACTCTGCCCATTGCGACTCATCGGTCGGCTTCCCGCGCGCAGGTCGCGCACCCCCTTCGGCCCCGACCCCTAACCATGCGGGCCCCCGCCCCACTTCCCCGAACAAAGCCCCATTGTGCGCTCCCAAGCTTGCAACTCCTCCCCGGGGATCGCCGCCACATGCTCCCTTCCTCGCCCAGATGGGCAGGGAAACAAAAGCCCCGCCACCCCGCGCTTCTTGCAGCCTCCGCCAAGAAACCCCAACTTGCAATAACTTGACAGCAAGTTTGCAAAAGGGGGGGGGATCCTCAGTCCAAAGCCTCTTCCCACGATCGCAACCCAGTGCAATACTCCCCCCCCCGCATGCACCCACCCCACCCCCATCCCATAATAATAAAGCCCCCCCCCAACTTCCCTCTGCCCAGCACGGAGGGGCGGCAGGTGCCTTTGTCTCCAAAGGAGCGAGCACGTTGCTGCCCCCCCCCCCCCCCCGGGGCCAGCGATGATCCGGGCCCGGACTCACCCAGCTGCAAGCGGCGAAGGGGCTGCTCCGTCCCCGCCGCGGTGGAGCGCAGGGAAGCGGGAGGAGGGAGGGGGCGTGGCTGGAAGACCTGGCCCAGCCAGCCAGCGAGGCGGCGCGGCCAGAGCGGCCGCCGGAGCGGAAGTGGGTCGCCATAGTGACCGGCCTGAGGGTTGTGGGAGGGGCTTGCTCTTTGCTCAGCTCCCGCCCTCCCTGGTAAAGGGGCAGCCGCGCTCAGTGGTTAAAGCCAGGGCCGGATTTACGTACATAAGCTAAACAAGGTAGAGCTTAGGGCCCCACTCGCTTGGGGGACCCCCAAAAATTAAAGGAAAAAACACCTGGATGTACATTTCCAAAATATAAGATAAATAAATAAATAAAATAAAACCGCCATACAGCAACAGTGTTTTGTGTTGTGTGTGATGTAAGTAATGGGCCCCGCCTGCTAGCCTGCTCCCTAAAATATCACTTCTTAATTGTATTTCAGTTCAACAATTACTTTGATAAAATACATACCGTATTTTTTGCTCTATAAGACTCACTTTTTCCCTCCTAAAAAGTAAGGGGAAATGTGTGTGCGTCTTATGGAGCGAATGCAGGCTATGCAGCTATCCCACAAGCCAGAACAGCAAGAGGGATTGCTGCTTTCACTGCGCAGCGATCCCTCTTGCCATTCTGGCTTCTGAGATTCAGAATATTTTTTTTCTTGTTTTCCTCCTCCAAAAACTAGGTGCGTCTTGTGGTCTGGTGCGTCTTATAGAGCGAAAAATACGGTAGTTTGTTATGTGCAAATGGCTTTAGATACCTGTCAGGTCCATAAATTACGGTACCATATAGTATATACTCAACACAAAGAACAGCAACAATTTGTTGTTGACAAAGGACAGCTGGACATAAAGGGCCCCATTACCTTCAGGAGCTTAGGGCCACATCAAACCTACCGTAAATCTGGCCCTGGTTAAAGCAACACCCTCCTGTACAATTATTATTATTATTATTATTATTACTACAGTATTATTATTATCGTTGTACCCCATCCGTCTGGCTGGGTTGCCCAAGCCACTCTGGGCGGCTTCCAACACACACAAATAATAATAAGACATCAAACATTAATAGTAACAATCAGATCCTATATTAAAAGTCACAATAACTTTAAAATAAACAACCTATACCAAATAAAGCCGTATGCAATAATGCATTAGAATCCAATAGTAAACACTAAAATTAAACACCAGCAAGTAATAATTCAAAACAGTTTACAATACATCAACAGGTTAAATCTGTAAGGATACATTGGGCAAAAGATTCAGGACATAATATACAGAAGGCAGACTGGGAGAGGCTATGTAAAACAGAACTGAAATTCACAGCACAGAAAATTATATGAAAATGATGTATCAGTGGTATTTGACACCTGTCAAGTTAGCAAAAATGTACAGAACAAGTTCAAATATCTGCTGGAAATGAAAAAAAAAGAAGGTACCTTTTATCATACGTGGTGGACGTGTAAAGTAACTAAAAATTTCTGGGAGGTGATATATAATGAAAGGAAAAAAATGTTTAAAATAACTTTTGTTTAAAAAAAGCAGAAGCTTTTTTACTAGGAATCATACGTACCAAGATACCAAAAGACCAGAAAAGATTGTTTATGTACGCTGCACGGATGCTACTAGTCCAGAGATAACCCAGACCAGAGAAGAATGGCAAACCAAGTTGATGGACTATGTTGAAATGGCAAAATTAACTGGGAAGCTCAGAAATCAAGAAGACAAGAACTTTAATGAGGAATGGGGAAAGTTTGTAATTTACTTACGAGACCACTGTAAGCAGTTTAAAACATTAGCAGGATTTTAACCACACTTGTAAAGTAATGGAATGTATGGATAATTTAGAAGGATTAAAAATTTGGATAAGTATTGATATGCAATTGTAAATAATATCATTAGGACCCATGGAAGTGATGGGAGGGGGGAGTCAGGATATGTGCTGAGCCCCAGAACGTGTGTGTGTGTATAGAAGGGGAGAGAGCCTCTGAGCACGTGCAGATTGCAAAAAGCATGCTTCTTCTATTTCTGCAAGGGGAGCCGGTCTAGAGGAAGGACTTCGCTGAAGGCTCCGTTTCTGTTCACACAGGAAGATCTGGAGTTCAAGGGCCCTTTACCTGCGGTCTGGGCTCATCAGGGTGCAAGTCAGCGGAGCCCATGTTATGGGCGTTTCAGACCTTGCTCAGTGTTTCCTGTTAAAAATGAGCAGCCGACGATGAATGTACAAGCAGCTGCTGTGGGTTTCCTCCTGTGCACATCAATGCTCATAGGATGCTGTGGTTATGTTTCTGGGATGATAGCTAAGGGTTTGCACTGGGAAGTGTGATCTATAATTCTTTGGTTTGAGATGATGGACTTTTTGGAGCTAGCTGACCTTACTGGAAGAATCTGTGACCAGAAAGAAGAGGAATACCAAGAAGATTGGAGGAAATTTAAGGACTATTTGAATAAATATTGTAATATATAAATATTGAATATTGAAAGTACCAAATAGGCCTAGGATTCAATTAGGATTTATTTAAATAAATGGGATCCAGAACACTAAGAAAAGTGAATAAATTTGATTATAATTGGAATATTGTTGTTTAATAACGATATTGGATAGCTGTTACATTCAGACACAAGGAAACTCAGAAGGGAGGGACTAGAGGAAGTCAAGTAATATGTTTATAAAGTTGGATTTTAAAATAATTAAGTTTGTTTTTGTTGAATATTTGTTTATTGTTTTTTTAATAGATGTATCCTTTTGTTTTTGGTTTGTTTTGTTTTTCGGTTGTGCAACGCTTGTTGCAGTATTTGTTATAATTGTAGAAAACTTAATAAAAATTATATATATATATATATATATATATATATATATATATATATATATATATATATTATTTGGTTTGTTTGCTAACATCAATATTGCTTTCCCATACCCTCCAACATTTCTCCGACTAAATTAGGGATGTCCTATTCAATTATTAAGGGACGCGGGTGGCGCTGTAGTCTAAACCACAGAGCCTAGGGCTTTCCGATCAGAAGGTTGGCGGTTCGAATCCCCGCAACGGGGTGAGCTCCCGTTGTTCAGTCCTTGCTCCTGCCCACCTAGCAGTTCGGAAGCATGTCAAAGTGCAAGTAGATAAATAGGTACCGCTCCGGCGGGAAGGTAAATGGCGTTTCCGTGCGCTGCTCTGGTTCGCCAGAAGCGGCTTAGTCATGCTGGCCACATGACCCGGAAGCTGTCTGAGGACAAACGCCGGCTCCCTCGGCTTATAGAGCAAGATGAGCGCGCAACCCCAGAGTCGTCTGCGACTGGACCTAATGGTCAGGGGTACCTTTACCTCTACCTATTCAATTATATTATTATTATTATTGTTGTTGGTATTGTTATTAATATTATTATCATTGAGAATGTGTTACTATTTATACCCAACCCATGGGTTGCCCAAGCCACTCTGTACAGCTTTCAACATATATAAAAATATAATAAAACACTAACAATTTAAAAACTCAACATTCAGCATTTATCTGGTGAAAATAGGGATGTCCTAAGGGACGCGGGTGGCGCTGTGGGTTAAACCACAGAGCCTAGGGCTTGCTGATCAGAAGGTCGGCAGTTTGAATCCCCTGCGACGGGGTGAGCTCCCGTTGCTCAGTCCCAGCTTCTGGCAACCTAGCAGTTTGCAAGCACGTCAAATGCAAGTAGATAAATAGGTACTGCTCCAGCGGAAAGGTAAACGGCATTTCCATGCGCTGCTCTGGTTCGCCAGAAGCGGCTTAGTCATGCTGGCCACATGACCCAGAAGTAGTACGCCGGCTCCCTCGGCCAATAAAGCGAGATGAGCACCGCAACCCCAGAGTTGGTCACGACTGGACCTAATGGTCAGGGGTCCCTTTACCCTTTACCTTTAAAGAAAAGCAGGACATTCCGGAATCAAATCAGAAACCAGGACGGCTTCTATAAAACATGAGACAGTCCCTGTAAAATTTGGAGGGGGTGTTTTCCCCTTTCATTTGGAGGTTCAAAGCTGCTAACAAAAAGTTGATATTTGAAAAATTCAATTATTAGAAACATTAAAATATTTTAATAATTTTAAAGTAAAAGTTCTTTTTTTAAAAAACAACAACAAATAACATAAATTAAGGATGCGAAATTTCCCTTCATTTCCATGTGAGGAGTAGCTTTGCCTGCTAAATTTATGGCAGGATGGGGAGCCCGCGACCCTCCAGATGTTGAGCTCCAACTTCCATTGGCCCCAGGATGGCCAGTGGTGAGGGGTCATGGAAGTTGGAGTCCAAAAACAATTAGAGATTGCATTATGGAGAGTAGGCAGCCGTTAAAGGCAGAGGCAGCATAGATCCCCTGTGTTGCAAACAGAAAAATCTGGCAACCTGCCGTGTTTCTTTTAGGTTGCCAGTTAAAGGCAGAGGAGCAGGGCCAATAATAAAGGTTGGAACTGCTATAATTAAATTATACCTACTGTTACAACACCAATGAGGACACCATCAGACGAGATGGTTGGACAGTGTTCTCGAAGCTACCAGCATGAGTTTGACCAAACTGCGGGAGGCAGTGGAAGACAGGAGTGCCTGGCGTGCTCTGGTCCATGGGGTCATGAAGAGTCGGACACGACTAAACAACTAAACAACAACAAAAAGCAAAAACAATAAGAGAATCTTTGGGCACCTTATAGTCTGCCAAATATAGCCTATTGGGCATAAGTTTTCCTGGCCGAAAGCCCATTTTGTCAGAAGCGTAAAGTAAAATCCTGATAGACAGGTATATAAAGGAGAAAATTGTAAGCTGGGAGCTGAATGGCAATGAGATGCAAAAATCACAGTCAGTGGTGATTAGAACTTGATTCTATGTTAAACCTTTAGCCTTTTGCGGTGATCATTGTTGAGATGATTAAATTAACATCTGTGGCGGGGCAGGAATTTATATGCAAAAAAAGTCATAGATAGCACAGATATCCTGGCATTGGTAAGTGGATTAATCTAAGTAGTGTGTTAACAAAATCCTTTGTCTCCACTGACCATGAGTGATGGTATTGAACTTCTTGATTAACCATAATCCAGCTGTTTCACAGCTGTAGTTGTAGAAGATCCTATTCTGAGGCAGTCTTTAATTTTACCTCCTGGCTAGATGATAAATGATTGCTGTCTGTTAAGAGTGAGGGGGGGCATAAACTGCTTCTCAAGCAAGTTAGCATCATCTCTGTTATTGCTTGCGTATTTTAAATGTAGATGATAGTATACTTCAAATATTTTTAACATTTTAATTGAATTTTTTAATTTACAGTACTTAATTCTTGTTTACAGGCTTTACTGCAATCAAGCAGCCTATACATTTTGTTAAATAAAGGAATACAATGAATTATCCCTGTGAATTGCTAGGGTTTTATTATTAATAATAATTTTATTTATTATTTAATAAATTTGTATACCACCCTTCATTCGAAGACCACAAGATAAGAATACAAAATGAAAACACCAAATACCTAATAAAACAAAAAGCAAAACAGACCAATAACCCACCTCCCACAGACGCATCTAAAAGGCCATAGAATGTCAAACTGGCCAAACGCCTGAATTTTGTATCTTCAATTATTCCGTATAAAAGAAAGGATAACAATTATGCAAAAGTTTCATAGAGATATAAGTAACAAACACAAGAAGTACTGGTAACTTTCAGATGGGAGCACAAGAGTCTTGTGGCATCCTAGAAACTGGCAGTGCAATGCCAGCATCTACTCAGAAGTAAGGCCTACTCAATAGGGAAAGGGCTGCAGCTCAGTGGTAGATGCAGATGGTCGTAGGTGGAATTCCTGGTATCTGGGCTGGGAGAACCTCTCTCTGAAACCTGGGACACTGCTGTCAGTCATTTTGGATGCTACTGAGCTAGATTTGCCTTGGTATAAGCAGCTATGGGTGACAGCAGCCACGAAATTAAAAGACGCCTGCTTCTTGGGAGAAAAGCAATGACAAACCTAGACAGCATCTTAAAAAGTAGAGACATCACCTTGCCAACAAAGGTCCGTATAGTTAAAGCTATGGTTTTCCAGTAGTGATGTATGGAAGTGAGAGCTGGACCATAAAGAAGGCTGATCACCGAAGAATTGATGCTTTTGAATTATGGTGCTGGAGGAGACTCTTGAGAGTCCCATGGACTGCAAGAAGATCAAACCTATCTATTCTTAAGGAAATCAGTCCTGAGTGCTCACTGGAAGGACAGGTTGTGAAGCTGAGGCTCCAATACTTTGGCCACCTCAAGAGAAGAGAAGACCTCCCTGGAAAAGACCCTGATGTTGGGAAAGATGAAGGGCACAAGGAGAAGGGGACAACAGAGGACGAGATGGTTGGATAGTGTTCTCGAAGCTACCAGCATGAGGGGAAGGAGTTTTGTTCAGCCCTTACCTGGGGATGCTGGGGACTGAACATGAGACCTCCTTTTTGCAAAGTGTGTGGTCTGCCACTCTCGGTGCTGTGCTCACGACAGCTTTCAGCTCTTGCCTTCCCACCCCCAGGAACAGACACCAGCCTGTAGCACAATCAGTTCATTTCAGGTGCCTGGTCTCCGTCCAAGATCCCAACCGATGCACCTGCTAACGGGGGTGGCTTAGTAGTTTGTGCATCTGCTTTGAGGTCCCCTCCAGTTCTTTCCACCAGAAGCTGAAACCCCAGCGGGCCTGACTCAGCAGTGCGTGTTTCTGTGGGAGATAATCTGAGCTCTGCCAGGCTTCTGGGAATAGGCGTCTGTCCCAGATAAGGCAGGAGGGAGGTTGTGGAAGGGAGAAGCCTGCGAGCCGAGATTTTACTTTCAAAACCATTTGGCGTCTGTTGCGTTTTTCAACGTTTTCAGACACGGAGATCCGGCGACATCCCCCAACTTCCCCAAATATATTTCAGAGAGGTGTTTATTGGAGAGACGCTTCTTGATTGATGATATGCAAGCAGCCAATTCTGCCTAGAATTTTTTCATTTTTTGCTTGCTGCAATGACGGTGACAGACTCGGGAGCTATGCGAAGGCAAAGGAGAGATGGGCTGGAGCAAAGTGAAAATATATTACTCAGTTTGTTTGTCGGTTTAGGTAAAATAAAAAATAAAATACCGCCCTTCATCAGATCAGATTCTAGGGCAGTGTACGATGATATAAAGAATAGATTATTGAAAGCTTGATACAATAAAATAACAATTTTCTATAAGAAAAGACAGTAAAAGGGGAGCACAGATCAAACTAAGGAATTATGCAAATTAAAATATATTTATGTTTAGAAGAAGGGCTGTAGCCCAATGGCAGAGCATCAATCCCTGGTGTCTTCAGGTGAGACTGGGGAAAAACTCCTGTCTGCAAGCCAGTGTCGCTACTGAGCTAGATAGACCGAGGCGGTACGTTTTAGTTAGTCTAACGTGTATATCGTGCTTTCTTCCTCGTCTTTTTCTCTTAAAGAGAAGTCTGCATCCCAGGAAACCAAATTCTGGATCAGATACAGCTGAATTTGGAAACACATGTATACATTCTGGAACGTGGAGCAAATTTACAGAATTTTCCTTACCATTTTACTCTTTCTTTCTTTTTTTGCTAGTTTCTGTATGTTTCTGACAGCTTAGCTAAACTTAAGAACCATCAATAAGTGCCAGAACTAAGACGTATACCCCCCAAAATCTGATGGATCGGAATTGCGGTTTACATAGAGGGAGCTTATTGTGTATAGTGTTTACTTAACTAAAGTAAAATTGGTTTTATAAGGGTGTTTTAACTTGGAACTGTTTAAATTGTATTGTTTATGGATAAATTCTGATGTATTGTTTTTATATGGGCCAATGGCCGTAATAAATCTAAATCTGATTTTTGCTAGTTGAAAGGAAGGGCACAGAAGTTGGGAGCCAGCGTGGTGTAGTGGTTAAGAGCGGTAGTCTCATAATCTGGGGAACAGGGTTCGCGTCTCCGCTCTCCACCTGCAGCTGCTGGGTGACCTTGGGCTAGTCACACTTCTCTGAAGTCTCTCAGCCTCACTCACCTCACAGAGTGTTTGTTGTGGGGGAGGAAGGGAAAGGAGAATGCTAGCCGCTTTGAGACTCCTGAAGGGGAGTGAAAGGCGGGATATCAAATCCAAACTCCTCTTCTTCTTCTTCTTCTTCTTCTTCTTCTTCTTCTTCTTCTTCTTCTTCTCTGACCGTGTGAAATCAGCCTATTCACTGATTTGAAAGATTTCAGCAGAAAATGGCTACATCCAGATCTTCGGAACCATAAGGACTAAAACCTTTTCTTAAGTGAAAACCAATATTTTCAGGATAGCAAATTCTGAATGCAATGCTCACATTATTCTTTTTCATGCCAATGGTCCCTGATACACATACACACACTTACATAATCCTGATTATAATAGAATTATCTATATATTGTAGTCCTAAGCATACTTACACAAGCAAGTTCCACTGGCAGCAATTTGCTTCCAGGTAATGTTTCAGGGCGGACATGCCAGAAGTTCAAAGTATTGTAAAGAAAGAATTATAGAATCCAAGGATAGCAGAGTTGGAAGGGGGTCATCTAGTCTAACCCCCTGCAACGCAAGAATCTTTTGCCCTATGTGGGTCTCGAACCCATGACCTTGAGATTAAGAGTCTCTGCTCTACTGACCAAGCTATCCCAGACAGCTGTCCAAAGCAATCAGTTTGCTTTCAGGTAAGAGGTTTGTGCACCTGTGGAACCACTGCTATATATGAGCAAACCTGCACTGTATATAGCTGGCCATAGGCAAAAAGAACAGATCAAAAGGTCTTCCTTCTCTTTGGGCCAGCTGGTCCTGGATATCACTGGCAACAGGTCACAAGTTGCTGTGGATATGGATGGACGAGACGGATGCATAATGCCAGCAATGCCACATATTCCACTCTGTCTTCTTGTGATGCAGATGGGGCAGTATATACAGTGAGGGGGGGGGTATTTGATCCCCTGCTAAATTTGCCCGTTTGCCCCCTGACGAATAAATGACCAGTCCATAATTTTAATGGTAGGTATATCGTAGCTGTGAGAGACAGAATAACAACAGGGAAAACCCCAGAAACCCAGAAGACAAAAGTCAGAGATTGATGTGCATTATAATGAGTGAAATAAGTATCTGATGCCCTGTCAACCAGCCAGATGTCAGGCTACCTGGTATCTTCATTGTAGGTAACGAGCTGAGATTAGAAGCACCTAATTAGCAGGGGATCAAATACTTTCCCCCCTCACTGTATCCTACCTGGGACCAGGGCTGTCTTTAGCAAATGCGGCGCCGGGGTGCAAATATCCGCCCAGCGCCCCCAAATTACTACAGCTCGTGTTGGGGTGGCCGTAGCTGTGCACTGCCAGCCATGGAGGGGGGGCGCAATTCTCCCCCATGCCGCTGAGGGAGAGCGATCCTCCCAGAGGCTTGGGAGGGAAGTTGCTCCCCTCCCAAGCCTCCTCGGGAGGAGAGCGATCCCCACAGAGGTTTGGGAGGCTTGGGATGGAAGCTGCACATTTGCCAGCCTTCTGGTTGGCGGGGCGCAGCTGGAGGGCATGTAGGGAAAGGGGAGGCCGCCGGCACAGCCACGCAGCTCCCCTACTTGCTGTGGCGCCCCTGAGAGGCTGGCACCCTGGCGCAACACACCACTAAGCCCTATGGGAAAGACGGCTCTTCCTGGAACTACGGCACAGAGTTTCCCCCTTGTGCATTATTAGCCACACAGCCTTTAAAATCTTTCATCTCACCCAATGTGCCTGAGGTCAAACAGATATTTCACAGCTCAAGATGTCCCCCTAGTGCTGAGCTGGGCCTGCAGTTGCTGCGGCTACTGAACACAGAGCAGGCAACCAGAGCAAAGAGTGGACTTGTGGAAAATTGGGGTGGGGTGAGGAGCCTAATTTTTATTATTATTTTTGAAAAATTATTAAAGATTTATTTGTTTACAAAAATATGTGCATTGTCTCTTTTTTCAAGTTGTGTTTTCTACAGATCACTTTCATTTGTTGTGAAACATTAGTGTTGCATGCAGTACAGTCGTACCTCGGGTTACAAACACCTCGGGTTACAAACACTTTGGGTTACAGATTCCGCTAACCCAGAAGTAGTACCTCAGGTTAAGAACTTTACCTCAGGATGAGAACAGAAATCGTACAGCGGTGGCATGGCGGCAGCGGGAGGCCCCATTAAGCTAAAGTGGTACCTCAGGTTAAGAACGGTTTCACGTTAAGAAGGGACCTCCGGAACGAATCAAGTTTGTAACTAGAGGTACCACTGTATTAGGTTGGGAAGAAAAGAGGGGAAAAGAGGGAGAGGGGGAGAGGTGAGTGGGGTGGGGTAGCAATGCTTCTCTTCTTCTACTTAGTGTACATGTGGGGTTTGTGTCAGCATCACTTGTGTGGGTTCTCTTTCTGTTTGCTTCTTGCATTTCCTTGGTGGTGAGAGAGGTTGGGGGGTGGCCTAGGGTGTGGTCGGTTGTCTTTGGTTAGCTGTAGTGAGATTTTTTTTTGTGGGAGTGGGTTAGGGGTCAGGTTAGCCATATTGATTTATATGCTGTCGGTGGATTTTTGTTGTTGTCTTGTTGGGCTATGTATGTGATAAAGGGGAAACATACCGGGCTGAAGGCATCTTCTTCTATTTGTTCCTGTGTCTGTTTCTGTTTATTGGTTAACTTTTCTACTAAGGCTGTTTCACATACCATTTGATACCATTGGTCCATGTTTACTCCTGACAGGTCTCTCCAGTGTCTGGCTATGATGCTTCTGGCTGCTGAGAGTAGGTGGGTTATGAGCTCTTTATAATGTGAGTGGACATTATTATCTTGGAAGATGTTCAGTAGGGCCAGTTCTGGGGTCACTTCTAATACAGTGGTACCTCTAGATGTGAATGGGATCTGTTCTGGAGCCCCGTTCGCATCTAGAAGCAAACGTAACCAGCAACAGCATGTCTGCGCACACACGCGTTGCTTTTCGCCGCTTCTGCGCATGTGCGTGATGTCATTTTGAGCGTCTGCGCATGCGCAAGTGGCGAAACCCGGAAGTAACGCACTCCGTTACTTCTGGGTTGTCGCGGAGCGTAACTCGAGCGTGCTCATCCCGAAGCACATTCAACCCGAGGTATGACTGTAATTGCTTAGTTATTTTGCCTATTTCTTGTATGACAGATGTCCAGAAGAGTTGGATTTTGGGACATTCCCACCACATGTGGAGGTACATGCCTGCGGAGGTACATCCTCTCCAGCATTTTGGTGAGGCTCCTGGGCATATCAGCACTAGTTTCTGTGGTGTTAGGTATCACCTGCAGGTGAGTTTCAGAGTGAGTTATTTTCTTTTAGATGAGATGGATTTAAAGGGAGGTTTAGATCACATTCAGGGACGTCCAACTCCCAATAGACTGCAATCTACTCACAGTATAAAAAAACTGGCAGTTATCTACCCATTGTCGTAAAAAGATTGGCAGTGATCTACTACCCAAAGTTGTGGAGCTTTTTTTAGGAAGTCAAAGTTGTGGAGCTTGAGCTTTTTTTAGGAAGCCAGAGTTGTGGGTTTTTTTTTTTTGTTTCTTTGTAAGGAGATCACTGAGAGGTCAGAGGTCAACCGGGATCTACCAGGAATACCTGCTGGACATGCCTGTATTGATTGGGGTTAATTTCATAGCCTATGTTTTCCTCCCTTTGTTTTTGTTTTTATTACGTCGAGGGGGTTTGTGGGATTTTGGAGCATTATTTTGTATATTGTGGATACCATCCCCTTGGTGGTCCCTTTGTTGTTAGGAGGAGGTTTTTGAAGGTTGTTAGGGACCTAGTCGCTGCTGATTTTACTACTGGATTGTTTAAGAATGTGTGCAATTGGTGGTGTGTTAGCCACTGCAATTGGGTGTCTTCTAGTTCATCTTGCATTTCTTGTGTCAATGTGGGTTTGTTATTTTTGTAGAAGTCTGCTAGGCGGTATTAGCCTTTGGCTTGCCAGGTTTTTACCTGAAGGTTTTGTGCTGTGTGGTGGAATAGTGGGTGGAATAGTCAGGCAGGGGGAGAGCCTAAATTTTGTAAGGCCAGAGCCTCCTGCCTTAGAATAACATAGACAAAAACATACTTCATCGGTGCACAATCTGAAGGTGTAAAATGCTTAACCAATGTGGGTTCAACTGGCCTTACTAAGGATGCGTCAGAGAGGCTAGCCCTTTAAATACACACACACACACACACACACACACACACACACACACACACCAGGAGCTGAGAGATTCAGGCTAGAGACAGAAAACTGCCTTGTCAGATTGTTGAAGGGGATGCGATACCGTCACGGTTACCTGTGGTGTTCACATTCGTTATTTCTATACCCCTTGCATCTTTGGGCAAACACGTTTCAATTTTATTTTATTTTTTACATAAACCTGTGAAACCTCTTTGCTCCACGATGATAATGTGCCAGAAAGGCAGTGTGTGTCCAACATAGGAGCGGATGGCTCCATCATACTGTATTCAACTGTCTTCAAAACCATTCATTGCCTTTCTCCAGGCACAGTTTATTTAATTAATGTTTGGGTATGAAAACGCCCAGAGCGGCTCAGTCCCTATCTGAGAACGGCGAGATTAGCCGTTTTAGGATTTTCACCAACTCTAGTCCTGTGCTTTAATAGCTGTGCAACAAGTTAAAAAAAAACCAAAAACAAAGCCAGAAAGGTTTTATCACAGCATTGCCACGAGAGGAAAAGCTTCACAGGTTGATTTCTGTCAGTTATATAGATAATAAAGGCCAAGCTACACATGACTGGATCACACACATTTTCTTTTTTTAATGAAATTGAGCAGTTGGGGTGGGGGGCTGCAAGTTTGATTGGAGCAGAGAAGGAGGTAATTTTATTTCTCTTTGTTTTCCTTCATGCCTTTTTCCTGTTCAGAATTGATTCCCCAGCTGTTGTTTGTCTGTGGCCTGGGGAAAGGGGATACTTCCCTTATGGGACGAAGAGTAGCCGTGGCGGGATTTTTATTTGAGAAATGACACGGGGGGTGGAATGATGAAACACATCTTTTCCCTGATCCTGCTGCTGCTCTGCTCCATTTGGCACCCCCATTGCAACAGCGCCACCCATGTCCCTTGCGTGGTATTTCTATTTAAACTATGGTCAGTAATTTTAAATTTGCATCTGTTGATAAAAATGAGCATGTGAACCTTTTGCACAAATCCTCTGCCACTTCTGTTATTTGGGGTGGGGTGGGGAATGATTTGACAATGTGTAAGTGGTCTAATAGGGACGTGGGTGGCGCTGTGGGTTAAACCACAGAGCCTTGGACTTGCCGATCAGAAGGTCGGCGGTTCGAATCCCTGTGACGGGGTGAGCTCCCGTTGCTCGGTCCCTGCTCCTGCCAATCCAGCAGTTCGAAAGCACGTCAAAGTGCAGGTAGATAAATAGGTACCGCTCCGGCGAGAAGGTAAACGCGTTTCTGTGCACTGCTCTGGTTCGCCAGAAGTGGCTTAGTCATGGTGGCCACATGACCCGGAAGCTGTACACCGGCTCCCTTGGCCAATAAAGTGAGATGAGTGCCGTTACCCCAGAGTCTAGTAACCCCTGCGAGTACTCAGGTCTCTCCTTCTCTCAGACCTCAGTCTCTGCAGCTCAGGAAATGTCGGTGAGTTACTAGACCCAGAGGCCGCCTTAGCCTCTCCT